GGCTAACGACTCATTAGCCGAGTCCTAAGCCGCTTATCACGTTTCACTTTTGTCTATGCCAGCCAGGAGTTCCCGTCAGGAACTCGAACGGTCACGAAGTTTCCTGCCGCTTTCCGGCTTGTCCATCATCCTGTCCCACCCTCGCACCCTGTCCTCCTGGTTTTTAATTCATATTCCATGGCACACTTTTATGCGACCTTCTGGCTGCCCGCATCTTTCGAGGCCCCTGCTCCTGCTCCTGGTCCTCTTCTTTCTGCGCTCATCGGGCAGCAGATGGCGTAGTGCGCAGCTTAGGCAAACGTTTGGACTCCTTGGGACATACATACAGTGCCCAACCGACCGAAGCTCTCCCGGCCAGTCAATCCAATCCTTAACTGCAATTCCCTAAGTGATGGCAGCGGTCGGTGGGTGCCGAAGGCGCCACTGGAGATACAATTGTTCTAGCAGATCCGAACAGCTGCTGCGCATCCTGGACTGCATGCTGGGTCCAGAGATGGGATGTGTGTTCCACACATGATGGCACAAGTGTGGAGGTTTCGGAAGCGCATTTTTTGTGCGATAAGAGCGCCACTCCTTGAACTTGGCACCTCGAGAGTGTTCCTTCCTATGGAATGCTCAACCTTACGCACTATCGGAGCTGGTGCTCATCACTGCAAACTTGATGGTCATCTTTTTCTTACTCTGTACTATGTACGCTGTACTCCTATGTAAATTTCGTGCACAACTGCTATTGTTTTCCCCGAAGTGTACGACTTCAAGAATTTGCATGGACGGTTTGCTGGCACACATTGCCAGCATAAATAGTCAGTGAACCCTCCTTCAACCTCCAATAGCCCCAAATCGATTCTGCCCTTCTGCTATTGTGCTATTACTCGATTGAAAATTCGGTGCAACAGCTGGCAGCTGAACCCTGCTGCTAATTGCAGCACAATATTCAGTGAAACGGATATTACGTGTCACACCCAAGTAGACACACCCATGGAGAAGTTGCAGATAGAAATTCAAAATTAGCCGCTTGGACTCGGAAACTGAAAAGCCTGACAGTTTATTGTACATTTTCTCCGTAAATTTCCCCCGTGCTTTATTGCCCTGTGAAATCTTTTCGCCGAAAAGAGCTGCAATGAAACAGAGTAGTTTATGACGCCACAAACCGTGTGCAACGCGCTCGGTTTATGAGTGTGCAACATATAGTAACCATCTGCTGTGCCACACGGCAAGGGACAAAAGCTTAATTGCTTTACAAGCCAATACACAAATATCAAAAATTACATACTATCTATCGCTAGTTGGGTGCTCTAGTATCGGTTTAGCATTTCACATTTTCCATCTCGAAGCCCGAAGATGTTTGCCCTATGTTTCTAGAACGCACTGTTTATCTGACCTACAAGAACTGGCAGCAGATGGTATCCGAAATAACACTGGGAAATTCTTTCGCAAGTCATTGGCCGCCGCCGGAGTAAATAAAATTTTCGAAAGCAAAGGCAAAGATTTTGTTCGAGCATGCATACAGAATCATGATACGCCGTCAACATTTCCATTTCATGTTCAAGTGCCAATGAAGATTCCACAACTGCAGAAGCGGCAACAATAACAATGCAAGTGTGCAGCCCCATCTGCAGCGCAGCAACAGAAGTGCATGCCCACTAAAGATCCGAGTACATGGGTGTAGATACTCCGACGCGAGTGCATATAAATAGAATTACAAGCCAAAGAGTTTGGAGGTGGAAAGGTGGAAGAAGAAAGTACTCCACTCCAGTGGGTTGTGACTCCTAGCGACGGCTGTGCTCTAGCCTAACAATAAACGCGATCCAATATCAATCATGAGGAACTAATGACATGTTTTAAGCCCCTTGCACCAACAAGTCGGTTGGGGTGCATGGTTACTTGGGATCGAATCTCCCAGTCGAGCTCGTTTCTGCGCACGTGAATTAGAAGTCGAGGAAGGCAGTTGGCCAACAAAGTAGTCCCAATAATAAACAAAACGCTTCAGCAGAATCTGCCCCGAAAGCCCCGAGTGCCCCGTCCCCAATGCCCTATTGAAACCCCCATTCCTCAAGACTTTGATAGATGGGCCGACCGAAAGTTGCATTATTTACACATCCACTGGCGATGCGAGAGGAATTTTCGGAGGAAAGATGAAACTTACACCGCACAGCGTACACACACACATTGCACTTATGTACACTTATGTAATGGCTCGGCTCACCCACACAGGCATGTGTGGATAATGCAACCGCCGATGTGTGGGCCATGGACCAAGTCCTACGATAACAGCCCACGCACTCCCAGTGGAAGCCATAAATCTCCGGCTTCTGCCGGCAGCGGGGCAGTTCCCCACTCTGATATTAATAGAGTCGAGTGGAGTCCAAGTCGAAGTCTCCGGCTGATCTAAAGTTTACGCTTCGTATGTTGGCACACAACTCCCGCTCGAATCAACCCCAATCGGCCAGCGAAAATCTGGGTGACCCTTTACGACTAGGTGACCTGCTGAGGCTGGAGCTGTCCATCTGCAGCGTGCCTAATTAGTGCCACTTGCACTACAAGAGTCGATATCAGACGTGGAGTAGAAGTGGCTTAGCAGTTCGATTTTTGATTAGTATCAATATACTCACTCGTACATTAGGGAAATTCTATCCTAACCAAATTTAAGCTGTGCCATACGAATTCCTTTCACTTTAAAGCAGCTGCCCGACTGTTGCAGGCTTTTCCCCTCACCATTGTAATATTTTGAGTAAGTGAGCCTTCTATGCAATCTTAATTACCAGGCTTGGCCCTTTGTCAGCCCCATCGACTGTTGCATCGCAGCAAAAAGCTAAGCCAGCTCGTAAGTCAAGTGGAAGTAAATAGAAATCGCATTTAGACCAGCCAATTTCACCCTCTGCGATCCCCGAGTTGATCCTGAGCATGAAACCCGTGCCTTTCATCACCCCGCCTACATTATGCCCCTAAAAAATGCTCTCGGGAAGAGGAGACCACTCCATTAGGAGATAGGGGATGCGATGGATGCATGACAATCAAGCGGGGAGTGGGAAAAACAACATGCAATTAAAGGCAATTCAAATGTGCCGCCCCATTCATTCGCCCACGCCACTGAAGCTCGAAGGACGAAAAGGAGCAGGACCTGCAAACATCCCAAGATGGGCAAACTGAGCGGAAAGCAACTGCCTCAATGAGTGACAGTCTTAATTACAGAGAGATTAGCATTGGCTAGCTCCAGGAGCTGAGGAGCCGGGGGGCTGAGAAGTGGATAAAATTGACAGAGCGGACTGGGAACGGGGGTCAGCAGCCGAAGGAGCGGAAGAAGCCACCAGGATGCAGACGTATTCAATGTCACGTTCCAGTGGAGGACGACGACTTAGATGATAAAGGAGCGCAGCCAGGTGAGTGTGGAGTGGCGATGGCGATGGCACATGGTACATGGTACATGGCAGGTGTGCCGGCAAATGCACTGCAGCCAAATACAATGTTGATTACCAATCCTTCATAGCATACTTTTGGAGGCTCTTGCCCTTGCATGTAGCTAGTAGCACATGGTGATTGTTTGGCCCGAATGCCACAGAAACATGCACTTTTTCCCAGTGCACTTCTGCCTCCGATCTTCCGCCTTATCCTGTTCCCTGCACTTCCCCATCTGGGCTTTGTTTCCGCACTTTTTGTGCAACCTTTTTTCGCTCCTTTGTTACATTTGATTGTCGCAAACGAAGTGGAAAAGCAAATGTTGCACAAACACACGCAGCAAGGAAATGCACACTAATTACTCCTTGGCACTGCCAACAACTTGGCAGGGGAGTGGAAAGTCCTTTCTTCTCCGGCCGTTCTTACAGTTTTTTGGCTCTGCCGTGCTTTTACTTGGCTTGCCTTCCTTCCACCTCAGTCTTTTACCCAGGAGCCCTCCTTCTGCCCGCGATAATTGAAATGGCGAACACAATAACTACGCCCCTTGGCGCAAAGAGCCACCCACGCCCCCATAACTCAAAGGGCAGTTGACGCTGCTGCTTCGATTAAACTTCAATTGCCGCTTGCACACCGAGTGGGCAATAAGCAGATGAGATGCCATGTCTTGGATTAATTAATTACTATTATTAATTAATATTCGCACTTAAAACTGTAGGAAGACCCTTAGTACTCAAGGTACTTAACAGAACAATCGATTAGATATGTTTAAGAGCTGGACAACTGGCTCTTTCCTTCCTTTTTGCCATTTCCGGCTATGGCCAGCGATCAATTCCGAAGTTTGGCACGGACATCTAAGCCAAGTGCACACTCAAAGCAATTGTCCAATAAATTTCCGCCTCCACCGAATGCAGGAGCCCAAGCAAAGGTCCTTGGCTACTTTGTTCAGCATTGGCAAACTTATGCGTTTAACAGTCAGCAAAGACCAAATGAAAGCGACTACTAGGAAAAGTTCGAGGAAACAAAAAAAAACAAAAGCATTATCTTGTCTATATAATCGGAGCAAATATTCCAAATCAACTTGTTTTATTTTTGTCTATGTACACTTTTTTGGATCACCTGCTTTTAACTTTTCTTGATGTCTAATTAGAAAATAGAGCAGTCTAAATCAGAATGGAGAGCGGACATGAGAATTGTCTTTCTACAAATTCACTATTTCAAGCCAGAATATAACTTGAATTTAACTAATTAACTTGTATATGCTACTGTTCTTCGAGTATTGCTAAATAAAATGCCTTATTCTGTAATCTTACAAACATGCGATGTACATACACCAAAAATTAAGCGTCAAAAATCGGATTCCCACACCCGTCGTAGCTTTTGAAAAGCAACATGAAAAGCTTTTCAAGTGCTGCAACACGCACATATTAACAATGCGTTGGCGCGCTTTTCAATTGCTGTAGATGATAACTACGAGAGATGAATGATACTGCTACAGAACTACTTGTTATCTGCCGCACGCATGAGCTTACGAATAAAGTGACTTCTCTAATAATGCTTCTCAGCGATAAGCAGTATGCGGGGAAGCCCATAAAATGTACTGAGCCTTGTGTTTGGGTAGCTATATTTATTAAGGTGAAATCAAATGTTACGCATATAGATTAAATAGAGTTTTACATTCTCTCATATACATATATATATATGGGATATATGTACGACGAAAAAATTAACCCCGCGAATCACATCAAATTGATACAAAACTCCAAATGAGGCTCTGCTCCCGCATCCGCCAGCTGTTTCAACTTAATGTTGGTCCCGTGAAATGCCGCGCCTTACTTCTCCTCGCACCACTCGTTCTCCTTGCGCACCTGCTCCTCCTCGGCGGGCGTAAAGTCCTTCTTTATGTTGAAGGTCTTGCGAATCTCCTCGGGAGTCTTGCCCTTGATCATGTTCGCAACAGTCTTGCAGGTGAGCTCCAGGAGGCCCTTGATGTCCAGATAGTTGGCAGCCAGGATGAGCTCAAACAAGGTGCCCTGATCCACCTTCAGGAAGTCCGCATCCCAAGAGATAATGTCGTCTGTGCGCTTCTCCTTGCTCTCATCGTCCTCCGTTGGCTGGGGGTCGTCCTTGTGGTAGTGGGCCCAGGTAAGCACCTTGCGGAGGATCGTCGAGTTGACATTGGGCAGCGGCACAATGGCATTCTCATCGTCCTCCATGCCGCAGTCCTCCAGCATTGTCTTGATGGTGCCGGAGCACTTGGCGATCTGGATGTCCGTATCAAAGATCTCCTCGTCCGAAGATTGCAACTTGATGCTGGGCATTTTGGGCTTATTTGGTTTGCTTTCCTGGAGTTAGGTTCAGTACAAAACATTAGGTTCAGTTTGAAAAATGTGTGACGGTGCGTGCAATCAGTGTGTGTTTTCTACTGTATGTGTGGATCCAAAATGCCAAATAGCCAAAATGTCGTATTGATGCACTTTCAGACCAATTCAACAATTATTGGTATAACGACTTTTGGAAGATAAAGGCGTGTGTGTAAAAGGAATATACGCAACTAGGATGCAAAACAATAGCAATCCCTGCACTTCGCAGCACAAATTCGCAAAGTCTACGGCGATGTTGATAAAAGGACTTGGAACACGTAATATGTACATGCGATGACTTGTAGGAAATGCCTGTGTTCGAAACTCGCTTCTTTTGTACCAAGATGGCAATTGAACAATTGCGCTGATTCCTGAGCGATGATACAGCGACGAAACGGTGATGAATGGTAGTGCAGGGATTATATAGAACCGAAATATAAAAAAAAATGCACTTTCCAGAAAGGCGCACACATGCACATACAAACCGATTCTCACACACATGCATGCATGTCCGTGCGTATGTTCGTTTTTCGTGGTGTTTCGAAAGCGTACTTGCGAGCTATTTGTTGACTTTCAATTGTTTTCCGACTTACCGTAGGATGATGCCTTAAATGTGCTGCAAATATTTCCACGACGCTCCAATTGAGGATATAAATCGAAACACAATTCAGAAACAGAAGTGACAATTCTCAAGTAGAGTGACCAGATGGCGTTACTCCGAAAAGACAATTGTCGTATTTAGCACAGACACGAACCACAACCAACGCACAATAAAAAAAAACTGGCGGAAGCGAGGGCAACTTGTAGCCCTGGTAATGATCTTGGCGCCGAAGTATAAGAATACAATACAAGAATTCTTATGAACTTGAATCACAACGCGGAATATTGATATATGCTCCTGCACACGACGCAACTGCGCTACACATCGCGACACTCCGAACACTTTGACACTGAGTCCCAACATCAACGGAAATCAATTTGTCTGCACACGACGTACACTCGATACTTGCAAATGGGCGTTCGTCTCGGCTAACTGTGGTGATAATCGTAATCGCAGCAATCGATGTCATTCAATTTATCGATACATATCGTCAGTGGCCGAGGCATCAACGTCTTTTTACATCACTAATCCGAGTATCGCGGAAAAAAAGCAGCCGCATTTTGTAAATTAAGTCCGAATTAGAGCCGATACAAGGCCTGATTTATTCGGCAAAAGGAGCGGCGGTAGCAAATAGCAACACTTGGTGCAAAGAACGCAAAAGAGAAAGAAGTGAAAAAAAAGCATACATACATACGCACGTACACACATCTCGCTCGTCGAAGGAATATATGTATACGGTTGGGTGTGCGTGTGCTTGTGTGTGCTACAGCAGCTTCTAGGCGTGAAAGAGCGAGGGATACATTCCCTTCCATACTCGCGACTTTTGGAGCGTCTCGCGAGCGAGCGAGAGAGAGAGAGAGAACGAGAGCCATGGACGGCGTTTGGATGTTTTTGGGGAACAAAGGCGTCAAGAGCTAAAATGATTTGGCAGTGCAAGCGCGATTTATTTTGGATACGCAGCCAAAGCCAAGCCATCCAAAACGGATTCCATCTCCGATCCAGTGTTTCGCCGTGTGCATGTGTGAGTCTCAACGAAAAGCCGTGGAAAAAGAGGGACACACTCACGCACATCAAAGCAGCAGACAAAGCATCGTTCTGCGAGTTCGAGCGAGAGGCACAATAGCGCCTTAGTGAATAATTCATTTAAGGTAAATGCAAACAAAAAATCGAAAAAGTGCAAAAAAAAAATCCGAACAGCATGAAGTGCATAAACACAGCAAACTGTGCGTGTATGTGTGCGCGTGTGTGTGTGTGTAACAGGCGCCGCCATTTTCCGTTCCCATGCAACCAGCGACTAGGGTTGGCAAACCGCTTCAAAATGCTGCTAACAAAAAAAAATTGGCGAAACCCATCTGCAAAGCTACATCCCCAGTGAATTTTATTGTAAACACCCGTTTTTCGGTTCCCCCGCACACAAGTGTACCTAATTTGCAAGCCTTTGCGCACTTGGCAACCCTTCATCGCCCATTCTCACTGCGCATATGCCTCCTTCTCGCTCTCACCTGCGTTCATGTGGCAATGCGTGTGTATGCGTTTGTAAACAGCTGAGAGAGCAATTTGCAAGCGACATCCATTTCCATTCAGAATAAATCGGGCAACAACAAATAGTCAATTCCAGCCATGTTTCCCAGCACCACCCACATGTGTTTATGTTAGTTTATGCCCAGAAACGGTACTTCAGTTGTTGCACAGCTTCAAGGAAATGCAAGATTTGCAATTACTGCTTGCAAATCGATAAGGCATTTTTTGTTGTGTTCGCGTTTTGCACACCAACATACGCTGTTAAACATCCATGTTAAAGTTTTCGGCAGTAAGTGTTTGTATTCCAGGATTACCGAAGTGTCTTTTTTTGTGGATCAATACTTTTTTTTACATGTGCTTTCAAGTTAATTGATTTTTGTTGAACGTGTGTGTGCCCTGGCTGAAAGGGCTCGGAATTGGTGCGAGCGAGAGGGATGGTTGTCAACGACATCAGTTACATGTCCTCTCTTTCTAGCTCTCCCTCTGTTTCGAACGGGAAGCCGTATGAATAAAAAATTAATTAGGGCCGTTTTCATCATAGCGAGTTAAGCAAATATATTTGTCAAAATGCTCGTATGCCAGAACAGATGTTTTGCGGTTTAAGGATTTTGCAAGCCATCCAATCTTGTGAGAGAGTGTGTATGTATGTGTGCATGTGTGCAGGACGTTTGCCTTTGTCCTAGTCTAGTCCTGGTGTATGGCCATCTCGCTCTTTACCGTGTCGCAGACAACAGCAGCGTTGCCAGATGTAGTTAAACAGCTTGTGCTTGTCAGTGATTCAAATTTCAAAACAGCTGATAATTGCCGGGTTGATTGGCTGTCATAGAACTAGTATTGATCGTATTGGCTGAAACGTTTCGAGAAATATTGAATAAAAAAGTGCACATATCGTATTGAATATAACTGTAATGCCTTTGGGTCCGTCATACTTGCAGACTGTCCTGCAGAATGGTCGTCGGCTCGAACCACACGCGGCGCGGTGAAACGGGCAGCAGATTTACAAACAGCAATAGCTCCAGCAGCTCAAACGGTGGCTCCACCGCTTCGGCCAGCAGCACCACCAGCGCAACGTCTTCACTAGCCACCAATTCCACGTCGACATCGACGGCTGCGGCTCTGTTGTCGTCCATGTCCCACAAGAGCCATGGCCCCCCGCCATCCGCACCCCCATCTGCGCACCACCAGACGAGCCAGCAGCACCACCAGGTGGCCCACAACCAGCCACATGCCACCAATTACCAGCAGGCAAACCAGCACCCTAGCCACCATCACCAGTCCCATCAGTCTTCGAACGGCAGTGGCGGAGGATCTGCTGGATCGGGATCTGGTTCGGTGGTTGGTGGACTCAATGGTTGCAACGGCAGCGCCGTCAGCCGCCTGTCGCAATCCACTGGCATGTCGCCGCGTGAACTCTCCGAGAACGATGACCTGGCCACATCGCTGATTCTCGATCCGCATCTCGGTTTCCAGACCCACAAGATGAACATACGCTTCCGGCCTCTTAAGGTGGATACGCAGCAACTGAAGGCGATCGTGGATGACTTCATCCACACGCAGAACTACGACATAGCCATCCAGCGCATCTACGAGGGGCCGTGGATACCGCGTCATCTCAAGAACAAGAACAAGATTGCCACCAAGCGGCTCCACGATCATGTAAGTCGGACTTTCCTGTGCAAAAAACCCCGTTTACTTTACATTCGGTTTGCTTTTTATACGAAATATAAGGTTTATCTAGCAAAGGTCATTCAAAAACTAAACTAACTGACTAAAATCCTTTCTTGTTTAGCAATTTACGTTTATTTTGAAGCACAGCTACTCGCCTTTATGGTGCATATTGTAATTCATATTAATCGAGATGCCCACATCCCTCAATGTCTTCCAGATCGTCCGGTACCTGCGCGTTTTTGACAAGGACAGCGGCTTTGCAATCGAGGCCTGCTTCAGATACTCACTGGAGGAGCAACGTGGTGCCAAGATTAGCTCGACGAAGCGTTGGTCGAAGAACGACAAGATCGAATGCCTGGTGGGCTGCATCGCCGAGCTGACGGAGGCGGAGGAGGCCGCTCTGCTGCACTCTGGCAAAAATGACTTCTCAGTGATGTATAGTTGTCGCAAGAACTGCGCCCAATTGTGGCTGGGCCCGGCTGCCTACATCAATCACGATTGTCGCGCCAACTGCAAGTTTTTGGCCACCGGCAGGGACACAGCGTGTGTGAAGGTCCTGCGCGACATTGAGGTGGGGGAGGAGATAACCTGCTTCTATGGCGAGGACTTCTTCGGGGATTCGAATCGCTATTGTGAGTGTGAAACCTGCGAACGGCGCGGTACTGGAGCCTATGCCGGAAAGGATGACGGCCTGATGCTGGGTCTTAGTATGGGACTCGGTTTGGCCAGCAGTGGACCTGGTAATAGTGGTGGCTATCGTCTGAGGGAGACAGACAATCGGATTAATCGCATCAAGAGCCGAGCCAACTCCACGAACAGCACCTCAAACAGCAACAGCAATACAAATGATTCCACTGGGCCCAGCGAGAGTAGCAGCACAAATGGATTGGTGGTTTCTGGAGGAGCAGCTGGAGCAGGAGGAGGCTCTGGTGCAACGCTGCCGCTACCATCGCAACAATCAACTGCCGGCAAAGAGGCCACAGCCGCTGTCTCTTTGCTCGAAAAGAAACTTCCAAATGTCGTGGTTTCACCGCTGACCATGAAGGAGCTGCGACAAAAGGGAATGACTAAGTACGATGCCGAGATGATCATGGCCAACGCAGCCTACCAGCAGCAGCATCATCATCAGCATCATTTCCATCACCACCATCACCATCATCACCATCACCACAATCATGGCCAGCACGCAAGTACTGGAGCCGAAGCTACAGCGGCCGTACAGCAAATGGCAGCCATGCAGAAGCCAGGCGTTGGTGGAACAGGAGCTGGAGGAAATGCTGGAACAACAACAGTGAGCAGCGTGGCCGCCGGAGCGGGCTCCGAGGCTAATGGTGGTCGTTCCACCAGTCTGCGCAAATCTATGCGTGTTAATAGCACCAGCAGCAGCATTTCCACCGCATCCGCGGACGAGGTGATCGCCCCAGTGGTAGTGGCGAGCATTCCGCTGCCCACCAAGGCACCGGTGGTTCTTGTGCCCCGTTGCAAGCCCGCCCAGATGGCCATTGCCGCGCTGCACCAGAGGCAGCAGCGTCAACTTCGACGTAGCGAACGCCAGAAGGAGAAGTTGACGGACGGCGAGAGCAGCGACACCAGCAGCGAGCAGCAAAAGAGAGAGCAGAAGCAGCAGGATCAGCAGCTGCCGCAAAAAATGTTCATCCTTGCAGAGGAACCAAAACCAGAGAAGCCGGAGGAGAAGCAACAGGAACAGCAGAAGCGTGTGACGCGGAATAGTGCGGGAAGAGTAGGATTGGTAGCCAGATTAGCCACTGCCCATAACAATAACATTGCAACCACAAACGCAAATAGCAGCAGCAGCAACAAAGCAACAACGATTACAAATTGTAATAATCATAATAGTAATAATAGCAGTAGAATTAATCATAATTCTAATCTTAGCGGTAGACTTAGTGTTAAATCGAGGAAGCCAGCACCAAGTGAGGCCTCGTCCATACCCTCATCCACATCATCAGAAAATCAGCAGCAGCAGGCAACGCGCCGCAGTTGCAGCCCGACTCCCGCCTACAAGAAGAACCTTTTGGCCAGCTTCGAACCCGATCCTCCTGCCACCCAAGGAATCAAGGAGCAGCTAAAGGACGAATCAGTTACTTATTCACCGGTCAAGCAGAAACGCAGCAGGCGGGCAGCTGCTTTGGCGGCAGCGCAAAGTATTCACTGCGAAGCGTTGGGCGGATTCCCCACCGGATCTACTGGAGGCCAGCGCAAGAGAGCCCAGACGGGAGAACCTGCCACTTCGTGCTCCTCTACTACCATCAGCAATGTTGAACCCCTACTGAAGACTCCAGAGCGCAGGCTGAAACTAACGTTGCGCATGAAACGTTCACCAATCCTAGACGAAGTAATTGAGCTCGGAACGAGTCTAAGCAACGGCGGAGCTGGCCGAGGTCCAGCTGGCTCCCATCGGGAAGGGGCAGCAGGGGAGGGATCTGCTAGAGGTGCGCTAAATCTAACCGGCAGCAGCTCAAATGGTATCGAATACGAGATACTGCGCATGGAGGGCATTTCAGAGCATGGCAACGATGACGACGAAGAGGAGGAGGAGGAGGAAGAAGAAGATGAAGAGCCAGCTGCCGAGGAAGAGGAGGAGCCGCCGCCTAAGGAGGAGCTGCAGCTGGTCACCAAGAAGCAGAGAAAAAAGCAGCGCAGCCGGAGCAGGAGCAGCCAACGCAGATCGCCTGCGCCAAGCAGTGTCTATGGAACACCGCAGAAGAAGCGCCTCCGCTTGATCTTTGGCAACGAGTCCCACACCATAGACATTCCACCAGCACCAGCAGAGGGATCGGGCTTGGATGACCTAAACAGCAGTGGCGGCGGGGGCGACGAGTCCTTCAATGCCTCCTATGCCAGCAGCACAAGCTTGACGGTTAATACATCCTCAAGCAGTACCAGCTCATCCGGTGGAGTGGGAGGCGCCACCTCCACCTCTACAGAGGCTGTGGACTCCTCCACGGTGGGCCCGCACATTGCTGCCCAATCACCTTCATCGACGACCAGCAGCTCCTTTCAATCGGCCTGCACATCGACCACTAACACCAACAGCAATAGCTACTTTCCCAATGGCAAGCAACGAGCGGCAGGCGAGGATTCCTATGCGATGCACTATTACCAGCTGGGCAAGTTTGCTGGAACCCCGAGTCCGGGACAAGGACAGGCCATTGTGAGCAGCAGCAGTGGTTCATCAGGAGGAGGAGGATCTGGAGCTGGAGCTGGTTTCCTGAGCATGCCCAAGCACACATTCGGCACCTGTGCCCTCCTGGCCCCCACCAGTTTCGCCTGCCTGCAAAATCAGCCTCCGATTAGCCAACAGAAGACCAGTAGCGGCGGAGGAGTGGGAGCGGGAGCGGCAGTGGTGCCCACTTCCACTTCAACAGGCGCGGTCACATCTCACCATTATAATAACAACCATCACGGCCAGAAATAACCAACGACTGATCTCCAAGCAAATTGACTAAGCACAGCTGCCATTGCCAAGAAAAGGGGAGGAGCACGCAGGGGGAGAGTCCGGGACAAGGACATGGTGGAGCACCAGGTGCAGGGAAGCAGGAATAGCAACGGATGGAGACTGAGAATTGCTGCGCTGCTGGCGTCGTTGCCTTTGCTGCTGCTGAGTCCAAGCACCTTTTAGAAACCGTAGGCTTAGATCTTAGTCCAAGTAGATCCTTGATATACCCTTGGGTTTTCACATTCAGGAAGCGAAACAACAACAGGCTGACCAATTTGTTAATGCGAATCCGGATATATACCAGATTGTAACTTGTTTTATTTTTGCTTTCTTTTCTATTTCTCTCTTTCTCTTTGTGATTACTCCCCATTTCTCCCAAACCCTTTTACTTTGTGTTCGCGTTGCATGTCGCGCGCGTGTGTGTGTGTGGTGTGCTTTTATTTTGCAGGTGGCAGTCTAAAGCGTAGAAGTAGGAAAAGGTCGCAGGAAAGTGCCGCGTGTTGCAAGCACGACAGCAGCAGGAGCAACCGGAGCAGCGGCAACATCGGCAGCAGCAACCGCCACAGCCACAGCAGCACCACCAGCAATTTGATAGTTAAAAGGCTAAGAATAGAGTTAAATCGCATTCAAATCATGTACAGTTGAGAGCTAGCACCAGAAGGACGAGCAGCCCAGGAGCCGTTGCGAGTAAAATGGGCGGATCTAGGAGCGCATTCTGAATGCAATGCACCTAGACACTGTGCAGCGGTTTTAGACGCCTTACAACCCAACCCAACACAACACAACACAACCCAACTTAACTTTACACGAAGCAAGCCCCTCTGTGGCAAAAAACGAAATAACCACATAGAGGACTCTTAAGGACTAAGGACCCCCACAATAGCCAACAAGCAAACAATAGTGCCGCAGCAGCAGCCGCAACCAGAAGAGCAATATTTAAACAATTACGTATATGCATGCACATGGTGTATATATGAGCAAGACAAACTTAATATTAATTGCAAGCCGAGCTAGATGAAGAGGGGAGGAGCGCAGCTAGCAGAGCGTACATTTTCACATATAACAATGTATATAAACCAAAAAGCGGGAAATTAAATTATAAAAACCAGCGAAAACGATTAAACAGAACATTCAAATAAACTGCTAAATACAACTCGATAAAAGTGGTGGTTCAAGTGGTTCGACGGACTATGCAGTCTATGCAATCTGGTTTAAATGCATCGCCTTGCCAATTCACATGAATCTAAATCAACTCGCACTCCCTGCCCTTCGTTTAATTGCCAGTTTTTAATTTGGTCTCTGTGAAGTTTAGTTCTTAAAACCTAAAACTCGACAGACGGAAAACTATAACCAACCATCACAGCCACACACACACAAACACGAAGTAAATTTGATGATTTTTTAACGACATGATTATTTTTTGTTTACCGATAAGTTTAGTTTGTAGCATATACAATTAAACATTAATCATACTTGATATATATTATATACTTTATTCATATCTGTAACTAATGTGTATTATTTTCTAAGCCACCAATAATTTACAGCTGCCGCGGCCGCAAAACATTCATAATAAACTAAAGAAGAACATTTAGTTTTTACAAACGCCAGCTTTTTCTTTCCTCGACTGATTTTGATTTGTTTACTCGAAACAACTATCATTATTAAGGGGCTCTCAGTTTCCCAAACTCGCAATATATACATCTATATAGTTTATAGTGGGCATGGTCATCCTGCTACTACCGAGGTATATACTCGCCATTTACCATCCCAGGACAATCGAAGCACCCCTAGATCCTTGTATAAATTTTTGCAAATCCAAAGACTAAGCACCTTTCCTGCAAGTCATGAGTTATATGCTCCTCTCAGTACTCAGCGGATTTCGCGGTGAGATGCCCTCTTCCCGGTTCATGCCGACTACAAGACCGAAAGGCACAGAGTTCTGGCTAGTTTTCTCCATCTGTTGCAGCTTTTATTTCACGCGTTACAAAAAGGTGTGCTTCCCGGGGAAACGCGGGCATCGGTAACTGCGGAACGGATGGTTACTGATTACCGGTTACCAGTTGCCAGTTCACGCGATTTGCCCCACTAGCTTAAGATCTAAAAGGGTATTACAAAGGATTGAATATCCAGATGAAGCAGGCCATCATCAGACTTGCGGGATGGCAAGGATATGCTAGGCGCAAGGGCTCTTATAGTGCTGCTCCATCTGGTGCGTCCTGGGAGGCATTTTAGTGTCCGTACTTCTGGAAATCCCACTCGCGGTTGTCCAGTGGGCAGACCTGGCGCGTCTTTAGCCAGCGAGAGATGCAGTGGAAGTGGAAGGCGTGGTTGCAGACGCCCCAGGCCACGGTGCACTCCTCGCTGGTGGCGGACGCCTGGTTCGCCTGGCACTCGATGCACAGGTCCATGATGTGGTTGCGGCAGATGGCGCAGTTGTCCACCACGATGTCTGCATCGAAAGGAAATCGAAATGGAAAGCGGTGATTCCCCTGATTCGCAGGACTGCAATTACTGATAATACTACTTACCCCAGGCCCACAAAGCCACGGCGTTCCACTGTTTTCGAGGAAGCGGGTAGGTGTTACCATTAGTACGTTCAATGCCAATGACCCAGCTTTTTTGCTGACCACTTACCTTCTTCACCTCAAAGCGTTTTTTCTCGCCCTTGCTGCTGCTGGAGGGCACCTCGAACTCTTCCTCGTCGACCTCCATGTTAAATAAATCGCAATGTGTCCCAAGAAATAGCTCGCAAAACGTTAATCTCGGTTTTTGCTGTTCCGTTCCGTTTCGACAGTAAATCTATCGACAGCCAGTGTGACCGTTGGTTGGGCGCGCTTTATACGATATCGCTTCCGTTTGGAGTCGATAACTTAATGTTACCATATCTTAATTTTTGTTTTGGTTTTTTTTAAGGGGTAACATCAACAAAATTTGCAAAAAATGGTTAAAAAATTCGATTCCTATTTTTGGATACAGTTCAATTGGAAATTTAAAAACGACGTATGACATTCCATATTCAGACAATTATTTTTAAAGTTGTGGCCAAAAAACTGATTATTTTATGTCGGAAAATCGGAAAAATTACTTTTGGCAAATATTCGATATTTTCTATGGCAATTTTCATCATAACTTCCATAAAAATTATCATAAAGATGAAAGAATAACAGTTTTGAACAGCTAATTACCAACGCTAAACATCCCTATCACTTTTTGACGGATTTGGGAAAATAAATTTTTTTGTGATTTTTTGACTTTTTTTGTAAGGGGTAACATCAACAAAATTTACAAAAAATTGCCAAAAAATTCAATTCCTATTTTTGGATACAGTTCGATTGGAAATTTAAATACGAGCTCAACGACGTATGACGTTCCATATTCAGACAATTACTTTTAAAGTTGTGGCCAAAAAACTGATTATTTTATGTCGGAAAACCGGACAAATTACTTTTGGCAAATATTCGATATTTTCTATGGAATTTTCATCATAACTTCCATAAAAATTATCATAAAGATGAAAGAATAACAGTTTTGAACAGCTAATTACCAACGCTAAACATCCCTATCACTTTTTGACGGATTTGGGAAAATAAATTTTTTTGTGATTTTTTGACTTTTTTTGTAAGGGGTAACATCAACAAAATTTGCAAAAAAATTGCCAAAAAATTCAATTCCTATTTTTGGATACAGTTCGATTGGAAATTTAAATACGAGCTCAACGACGTATGACGTTCCATATTCAGACAATTACTTTTAAAGTTGTGGCCAAAAAACTGATTATTTTATGTCGGAAAATCGGAAAAATTACTTTTGGCAAATATTCGATATTTTCTATGGAATTTTCATCATAACTTCCATAAAAATTATCATAAAGATGAAAGAATAACAGTTTTGAACAGCTAATTACCAACGCTAAACATCCCTATCACTTTTTGACGGATTTGGGAAAATAATTTTTTTTGTGATTTTTTGACTTTTTTTGTAAGGGGTAACATCAACAGAATTTGCAAAAAATTGCCAAAAAATTCAATTCCTATTTTTGGATACAGTTCGATTGGAAATTTAAATACGAGCTCAACGACGTATGACGTTCCATATTCAGACAATTACTTTTAAAGTTGTGGCCAAAAAACTGATTATTTTATGTCGGAAAATCGGAAAAATTACTTTTGGCAAATATTCGATATTTTCTATGGCAATTTTCATCATAACTTCCATAAAAATTATCATAAAGATGAAAGAATAACAGTTTTGAACAGCTAATTACCAACGCTAAACATCCCTATCACTTTTTGACGGATTTGGGAAAATAAATTTTTTTGTGATTTTTTGACTTTTTTTGTAAGGGGTAACATCAACAAAATTTGCAAAAAATTGCCAAAAAATTCAATTCCTATTTTTGGATACAGTTCGATTGGAAATTTAAATACGAGCTCAACGACGTATGACGTTCCATATTCAGACAATTACTTTTAAAGTTGTGGCCAAAAAACTGATTATTTTATGTCGGAAAATCGGAAAAATTACTTTTGGCAAATATTCGATATTTTCTATGGAATTTTCATCATAACTTCCATAAAAATTATCATAAAGATGAAAGAATAACAGTTTTGAACAGCTAATTACCAACGCTAAACATCCCTATCACTTTTTGACGGATTTGGGAAAATAAATTTTTTTGTGATTTTTTGACTTTTTTTGTAAGGGGTAACATCAACAAAATTTGCAAAAAATTGCCAAAAAATTCAATTCCTATTTTTGGATACAGTTCGATTGGAAATTTAAATACGAGCTCAACGACGTATGACGTTCCATATTCAGACAATTACTTTTAAAGTTGTGGCCAAAAAACTGATTATTTTATGTCGGAAAATCGGAAAAATTACTTTTGGCAAATATTCGATATTTTCTATGGAATTTTCATCATAACTTCCATAAAAATTATCATAAAGATGAAAGAATAACAGTTTTGAACAGCTAATTACCAACGCTAAACATCCCTATCACTTTTTGACGGATTTGGGAAAATAAATTTTTTTGTGATTTTTTGACTTTTTTTGTAAGGGGTAACATCAACAAAATTTGCAAAAAATTGCCAAAAAATTCAATTCCTATTTTTGGATACAGTTCGATTGGAAATTTAAATACGAGCTCAACGACGTATGACATTCCATATTCAGACAAATATTTTCAAAGTTGTGGTCAAAAAACTGATTATTTTATGTCGGAAAATCGGAAAAACGACTTTTGGCAAAAATTCGATATTTTCTATGGCAATTTTCATCATAACTTCCATAAAAATTATCAAAAAGATTAAGGAATGACAGTTTTGAGCAGCTAACATCAACAAAATTAATTAATTTCAAATCATAAATCTCGTTGCCTTTATCCATAATTACAAAAATTGATTTTATTTATTGTTTGCTGATTTGAGTTCAGTTGGCATTGCAGTACACAAAGTACTTTCCGAATTATTCCTTACTCGGCTAGCAGACGGCAAAATAGTCTGTTTACGAAGGGTAAAAGTTGCAATAAATTAGATTATTCAAATTCAAGGCTCCGGCCTTCTTGCCCTTGGGCCACCTTTTCTGCTAGGAGGCGCCGCCCGTTTTGTGGCCACTCCCCTTTTCCCGCTTGACCATCGGTAGCCGTGTCCAGATGTATCCGCCCGATCGTTGGGCAGTGTACTCATCCACATCCGGCAGGGGAAACGGAGTGCTCCGATCGAAGTAGTAGTTGCTAGGAGCATGCATCACGAACTCCAGGTAGCAGAGCTTTCGGGATAGCTCCTCGTCGGGTCCTGCAGACACGGAGATTGAAGCAATCACTAAATGACTTAAGGTAGCAGGGAGGACAGGACTTATGTGACATACCGATCAGATAGGTAGCGGGATCGAACCCCTCCTGGGGATCCGGACTGTCCTGCGTGGGTATCAGCCAGGTGAGAAAGGCGGACTTCTCGCAATAGGCGTCCACAAGCAAGCCGCGTATCTGGGCGTAGTACAAATTCTGATCCCCATCCACAATGCTTACGATGTCCCCGATTTGCATATAGCTGCCTTTGTAGAAAACGCTTCTCACAAACCTGGTGCTCGCCTGCACCTTCGGTGTCTTTTGCGCTGGTCTCTTGAAGAGAGTGCGACGATTCCGGGCTCCAGTGGCTCCGCCTGGACCCGCTGGACCGGACTTGCCATGCTTGTTGCTATTACTGGGGTGGGCACCAGCGCCCGCGAGATGTACGGAGCTGCCGATGGAGCCATTCGGGCCACTATTGTGGCCATTTGACTGGTTATTGCCGCTTCCGGGATTGCCCTTGCCCGTTTGCTTGGCCTTGAAGCGCGTGCTCTTCCGCAGACGCTTCATTATCGCTGGGGTCCGTGTGGGCGCCTGGTTACCTGTGCCATTCAGACTGCTACGGGTGATCTTGCCCGCAGGTTTCTGGCTGGGATTCGTTGCTGCCTCCGGCGAACTGGGAGCGACTTCCTCCTGAACCTGCGTCTGCGCTGGCGGCTTCACTGGTTTGTCCTCCCCTTCGATTTTGATGGCTCTCAGAGTACTGGGCGGCTGGACGACGCTGTCTCCCAGTGACTTCTGCTTCTGCACAGCCTCCTGCTCCTGCTCCTCCTTTACCTCCTTCACCTGCTTCTCCTCCGGTGGCTTCGTTTTCGACTCAATCGGCTGCTCCAGCTCGGCCACCGTTGGCATCCGCTCGTTGGTGGTAAGATCGTTGTCTATATCCATATCCGTAGAGTCCTTCTGTGTCTCGCAGGCGTAGACCGAAGCTGGGGGAATGGGGTTTTGAGAAGCCAACGCCAGATCTCCGGCGGCGTCCGCTTGGAGGCCATCGTCTGCGATTGACTCCCTGGTCGTGGGACTAACGCACTTGCTGCGCCCGCTGGGCATCACGTCGGCGTCGGTGGACATGGCTAATCCTTGGATCTATCGGTAAGCCCCTTATTCAGATTTTAGCGATTTCAAAACATTAAATGTCAGGCAATGGAAAACAACGTAGTGTGTAGAATGTTTTTGTTATGCCAGTGTTGCCAGACCAGATCGGCTGCACAGCATTGCCAGGTGGGCGAACCGTGCGGTGGCTAATGCAGCCCTGGCTCTTATTTCAATTCAAAAATGTTGCTACTAGATACGAAATTATAAATTATTAGTTACGAAATTGATTGAGCAAATAAACATATCCCACGCTGGCGAATTCAATATAGATTATGTCCCGCTTAAAAGTGTATTAGATTCGACGGAAGGCTTGTAGCTGGTAGAATTGCGCTCCACCGCTCGAGTATAAGTTCAAATAAATTAAACGTAAACAACTACCATGTAGAAATTAACTTCAAAGGGTCTATTTGAGGAGTGGGGATTATCGCTCGCTGTCAAGACAAGGGCTATTCGGTTATTTCTGCTCCTCTGGAAGGCCTAGCACAGAACATTACTTAAAAGATGTCATTTATTTTGAGTTCGTACGGCTAGTTAATTAATGTAGTACTCGCACTATCAAACAGATTATCCTACATTATATAAAATAGTTTGGTAAAAAGGGCTGCACATACCGATTCTACTTCACTGTTTGTTCTTACTCCGGTTTACTCTGTTATTTACTCTTAACTAGATTAATCAGTACCTCGTATAGCAGATAAGGTTTATCCTTACACCTAGCGAAAAAAAATAGTGACAATAATGGGGATTTGGGAGAATAAAATACAATTTACAATCAGGCCTGGGGGTGTTATGGGTTGGGAGAAAGGGTCATGGGGCATATCATCAACATGATTTTGGCAAAAGAAGTCTTTTTGCGTTGTGGGGTCGCGATGCATTGGATTTTAGATGTTGCGGTTCCGCTGGTTGCCGCCCCGCTGGTTGCGATTGTTCCCATTGCCGTTTCCACCTGGTCCTCCGCCCGGAAAGTGGCCTCTGCCGCCATTATTGTTGTTATTGTTGCCATTGTTGAAGTTCTTGAAGGCCATGCCCATGTTCCCCATGGAATTCATGTTGTTCATGACGCCAGCTCCTCCTCCTCCATTGTTCCCAGCAAATGGGTTGAAGGGATTGCCATTGGGCACAGGCCCTCCTCCGCCTCCGCCTCCTTGGTTCATTCCCAATTGGCCTTGTACTCCCGGATTTCCCACGCCCTGGTTTAATCCATTGCCATTCGGAGGCATTCCCAACAAGCCTCCTCGTGGAGGTGGCTGATTGAAAGGGGGTCCCAGGTTGCCCATTGGCATCATCATTCCCGACATGCGTAGCATTTGTATGTTCGGCGGGGGTTGCCTTAACATTTGGCTCAGATTTGGTGGGGGCTGCGATAGATTAGGAAGCACTACTCCTCCTCCTCCTCCTCCTCCTCCTCCTCCGCCTCCTCCTCCACCTCCTCCTCCCACTCCTGAATCTGCTCCGCCACCAACACCGCCGCCATTGCCGTTGTTCTCCTCGGGAATCTGCACCACCTGACCATTGTCATCTACGAAGATAAAGAGCTTGGCGAAGATCTGCTGCAGCGTTGTGTTGTTCACTATAAAACTGACATCAAAAATTTTCGGAGCATCATTCGGCAGCTGATGGAACTTCTTGAGCTCGGTAAACACCAAGGCGAGCTGCTGATTCACCATGATCTTATTGTTGCTGCCGAGGTTCTTGTACCAGTTGGAATCTTGCAGCAGGCTTCGGATTTCCGAGATTTGCTTGCTGCCCCCGGAAGCATTGGTTGCTGCAGAAGGTTTGGTGTTCGCCGTACTCGCAGCTTGCGTTTGCGCCTGGAGAGCGGCTCTTCTGGGATCGCGCCGTGGATCTGCCCGCATAGCAGGTTTTTCTACCTGCAGATTCGGAGGGGGCACCCTCATCGACGGCGGTGGCACACTCATCGACGGCAGGTTGACCAAGGACGGTGGCGGCGAACTGGGCGTGGAATCACGAACAGTGGTCTCAGAGTCTGGCGAAGCGATGCTCGAAGCGCAACGCCCACTGTTGTCAGCCGATAACGAGCTGGCGCCCGTGATTGGCGTGGAGCCCAAGGGTCCACTACTGTCAGGAATTTCCGGCAGGCCTATAATCCGACGCATTCGAGGATCCCGTAGATCCCGCTGCTCCTTGTGCAGGGCGCTGGCCCTAATCTGAGCGTAGTTGGTGTCCTCTATGGACACTTCCTGCAGCTGCCAGCGGAGTGGAGAGTGCGAGAAGATCCCCGCGTCGATCTCGGTGGCAGGCAAGTAGTGTTTCATCGCCACGAACGGCAGTCCCATGTCTGTATCACGCTGGTACTGTTCCTTCTCCTCCATAAGGTGCTTCTGTCGCCCAAGCTCCTGCTCTTTGGCGGGATCGAAATCATACATGGAACGACGTACATAAAGCGAAGGAGTTGTCGGCGGCAGCGCTGCTGTGATGCCAGGCAATTCCGGCATCTTCTGATCCTGGTCCTCCTGCTTGGGGGATTGGGATCCCGGCTCTGGCGTGGGAGTGGGGGTCAGCGAATGCGAATTGGAATTGGAGTTCTCATTGCTGGAGTCCACATCGCCATCGCCACTGTGGGCCTTGAAGGGATTGCGTATGATGTCACGGTAGAAAGCAGCTCTAGCCTCGGGGTCAGATTGTTTGTCGCCGAATAGAATCCGGCTGAGCACATTGGTAGAGGTGCTTGAGCCGGTGGGCACGGATTTATGTGTCAATGGATCTCCCCCAGGCAAATGTGGGTTCTCCTGGTTGGGCGACGTGGCACTGGCGGGCAGCAGTTGCCTTGCTGAGGATCCCTGACCCAGCATGTTGTTCATAAAGCTCGGCAAATCAAAAACAGATGGCAAGGGCGCCTCCTCTGTGCCGGAATCCTGGGAAGCGGCTTGCGGTGGCTTTGCTTGCTTAGGTTGCTGCTCCTCTTCGGCGGTGGAATCGTTGCCATCGTCTATGACCAGTTGTTCGTCGTCATCCCGATCGTCGTCCACTGAAATGAATATGTAATTTAATCAAAATTTTTTTCACAGATTATTAAAAACATTGCGACAGCATCTATACCCCACAATCAAAGCAATAGATTGGATAAAAATAGTTCCATCTACTCACGCGGATCGTTGCCGGAAAAGCTGACATGTGCATCCTTGAGGTACTGCGTGTAGTCCACCATAATGAATCCGTTGCTGTTGGAGTTACTATTGTTGGCCTCCGTTTCCCGCTTGGTTGTGGAAGTGCTAGTGAACATATAGATTCAATAAGAAAAGAGTATTCCGTTTTTGCAGTGATTAGCCTACCTGCTTTCCATTTCAGCTTGCCTTTGTGGCTTGGCATCCTCGGCCTTGCGCTGAATCTCACCGATCTCGACCAGCGTTAGGCCAGCCTCGGTTAACTGGCCAAACGGCACTTGAAGCATCTGCTCCAGGTTCGTAATGCCCAACTTGTTCAGCTTGGCCATGTTTTCAGCACTTAAGACGTGACTGAGGTTGGCCAAGTCCAAGTGTGGCGGTAGTGGTTTGGCCTCCGGCGATGTGCACTCCGCTTCTGAAGAAACTGCTGCTCCAGCAGCCGTCCTTGCTGCCGTTTTGTCAGTCCAGCGGGACTTGCGCTTCTTTTCTGAATGCGGCGGATTGATGACCATATCCAAAAGTGAGGGAATGCAGCCGCCGCCCTCCGCAGCCGCTTGCTGTTGCGTCTGCTGTTGCGTCTGCTGTTGCTCCTGCTGCTGCTGCTGCGCCTGCATCTGTTGCTGCTGCTGTTGCATGTGCTGGTCCTGCCGCCTGCCCATTCCGCCACCGCCCATCGAACTCCAAGTATTCTCCCGATTGAATTGCTCGCACAACTGTTCGTTCCGGCGCGCCATCTGCACCAAGGCAATGTCTCTCGATATTCGCTTGAAGTCACCAAGGATCTCCTTCGGAGCCGTCTCCATGTGCTTCAGCAGGATGTTGCGGAGTTGCTCGGAGAGTGGCTCGCCGTGGTGGAAGAGGCAATCATCGCCGGCATAGCAATCCATCCCCAGGTAGTAGTACTTGCAGGGAAACTCCTTGTGCATGTACGAGCATTTGTCCCGCTTGGCACAGCAGTCCATTAGATAGAACTTGCATAGCTCCAGCTTGCGGGGCTCAACGCGACTGCTGCCGCCCATCTTATCCTGTCCACCGCCGCCTCCTCCTTCGCCGGAATCGCGGCGATTACGCTTGGACCCGCCCCCAGCTAAGCCGCCTTCATGGCGATCGCGATCCCTTCGCTTGCGATTATTCCCGCCACGCTGGTGCTCCTTTTCTCTATCCCTTCCAGTCCGGCGGCGCTGGTTCATTAAGCCGGGTCCATTTGCGTCCTCATCGGAATAGGAATCATAGCTGCTGTACGGATCCTGCTGTGAGTCGTAACTCCCTCCGCCGCCCGCTCCAAGACAGGCTCCCCCGGTTGCGACTGACCCATCGTCCATGTCCCAGTCGGCGCCACCGAACCGCTGGCCGCAACTGGACAAGGGTGGTGCCACTCCTCCTGGGGGCGGACTGCCGCCACGTACGTTCATCATCTCATATTCGTCCATGTCCTCAACGCCGCCCGACACCCCAGACACGTCGTCCTCTTCACGTCGGGAGCGCTTCTGGAGCGGATTAAGATGAAGTCGATTAAAAAGGAAAGAATGAAAGAAAACATGTTGGTCAAAATCATAGAAAGAAGCTTGTAACCCGTTCAATTATTACTTAAATCCCTAAAAAAAAAAACAAAATGTAATTCTATGAGAAGCATACGATACATGTTTTCAACTAATATAAAAATGAAAGAGTTGTTAATGTCATGCCAGCTTTACTTTGCTGCTCCTATTCTAAGATCCCAATACTCGGCCCTGCCTTATAGACCGACCAAATGAGCTGGAACAAGCTAAACGAGCCATGCAATACGAAGTCCGATGGTTAATGATGAATTAAATGCAGGCGGAGCGGGGGAATTGGCTCGAAACAGAAAACAATTGGTCGTGGAACTTGGTCACGCTGGCTGGGTGAGCCACTTCCATGTAACGCCCAAGAACCATCTTGCATTTACAAACGTAAATATGGTAAATAAAGAACATGTCATAAGTGCAAGTCCAGAAATAGGTACAACTATATACACCTTGCTCCTGGAGGAAGAGGGTATACGGAATTCGTTGAACAGTATGTGAATGGCGGCGGAGTCTTTGCTGCTTGCAAATGAGTATGAATTTCAAGTTAAGTAAGAGGGTTTACAATATTTAAATAATTTTCTTGATTGTCGATGCTGTTAAAGTAGATCTCACAGAAACCAATCATTAATGAGTATGTGGGACAGCAGAGACATAATGTGATGGCCTCACCTGGTGCTCCTGGTCTTTCTTCTGCTCGCGCTCGCGCTCGCGTTCTTTCTTGCGTTTCCTTCGTCTGCTGCTGCGACTTGGCTGCAGAAGATGGTTTGCGAGGCCGGCTAGTCCCTCCCCGGATCCCTCCAAGGACACATCGCCCGCATCCTGGTTAGACGACCGCATGCGGGGCATTGGAGGTTCTATGCCCTTCTTCTTGAGAGCATTGGCAATGGCCATCTCAATGCTGCTGGCATGGTCATCTAGGGAAAACATTCGGATTAAACAAGGAATCAATGCAATTGGTTGAGCTTTCACCTTCCAATGGTCGGGGCTTCTTTGCCTTGCTGCTGGTGCTGTTTTGGGGGCCACCAGAATCTGTGATTGGTACCATATAGACGACTTCTTCGTCGGCATTTTGTGTTTTAGCCTCGACACCCTCAAACTGCACATCGTCGTCCCCTACGGAAGCCTTCTTTTGGGCTTGGATCTTTGGAGGCGACTGCTCCTCCTCATCGTCGTCGATCTCGCCATCCTCTAAATCCTCCGCCAAATCAAATTTGGGTGCATCTGCCAAAACGAGTGACATTGTCGATTTGACAGCTTATCTCTCACAGGATGAGATTATGATAAGCCGGTGAAAAGGGTCCTTTTTTTTGTTGGAGTCACGAGTGTTTGGAAAAGCTGTTGATAAGGGATTGGACTTTGAATACGTGCTCTGTATATGACAACATATATATATAAGTATTTCAAGGTCAAGTCCCAATCTAATTATATATAGGGACGTTAGGCGTGTTTCGAGCCTTCAATGCCCAAGAACAATAAAAAATATTTTCAAAAATGAAATCAGCCTCTAGTATTAAACAAAAAGATCCACATTAGGCCATATACCTCTTTTAAGTTAATAACTACGACTTAATAGAGTTAGTTTACTGCCTCCTATTCCCTTGTTTCCAAAGACATTCAAGGATGATATGAAATGTCCCATTAGCGGTCACAATTTTGAACAGAATGAACGGAATTGGGTTACACTAAAATCAAGCGTTGCTTGAATGAATGCTACATGAATGTTTTTTTGTACATTTTGGATAAGAGCGTGGGCACGCTCATAATTGAGGATAGTATTGCGCTCGGACCATGAGGATACGCCTTGGATCACAAAGGATTCAGGATTCGGAAGGCACCTTCAAGTGCTAGCGACAAGTTAAACAGGCTGCTTCTGCATGAACCAAAAAGGAGTATCTGGCAGATAGCCCAGGAAATGTGCGGTCTATCAGGACCATTCTTGTGCATTCACTCAGGCAGTAAAGTTCTGGACTACCTGATCTCAGTACTCGGGTTCCTGTGATCCTGGAAGTTTAATAACATTTTTTACTGCGAATGTTTGGATTGCTCCTTGTTGTTTGGTCAAAGTAGGACCGCTTCCTAGGTTTTAGGCTAGCAATTGCCAGTTCCTGAGTGTAGCAGCAAAATATTAAGGAAATCAGTTGGACGAATCAAAGCGTACGAGTTGCAAGGGTTGCGCCAGAACAGTTGTTGTATGGCTTAAATGGCATAACAAGTGGCTTAAATCATATTTTACAAACATCAAATTTCAGAACTCGAAACCAATTAGAATCCGAAAAGCAAAAGTCGGAACCACAGCAACGGAGCTTCCATTGAGCCTGGAAACAATGGGAAAGTCGTAGTCGTTGGGGTTTATTTTTGTGCGTAAGCGAAGTGAACCGTTATGAGCCACACGCGCATATGTACATAAGTGCACGTAGCGCTGTTCGTATATAAGATGTTCGTAGATGTATCTGCGCGCGGATGTGCTTGGCATATGACAAACCAACTACAAGCGTACATACATGCATATGGATGTAGCTGATGCACGCAATCATTTCGATTGATGAAAGTTGATTGAACAAATCAAATGTGTCGAACGACACTCGCACACGTACATATAGAGCGCGTGTTTAATTCTGACTCGCGATTGCTAAGCATGTCGACTCGCTCACACGCCCATGATCTAAGCAGGAAACACACACAGCCGAGGCTTGCGGTGTGAGTGCGCGCGCGTGTGTGTGTGTGGGTTGCGAGGCAGAATGTTTTTTTTTTTTCATTTATACATACATTCATATATTTTACAGCGACTGCAAAGCGAATTCGAATATAATTGTTACACTTGAGGTGAAAGTTTTGTTTTGTTTTTGGTGCGAATTTGTTTATATGCTTGGTTGAATAAATGGTAGGCGTGCATTCGTGAGGCCGCCCTGCTGCGCAGTTTGCACTTGCATATGTACATATGTACGTAAGTACATACGTGCGAACAGCAAACGAAAGGAACGCAATTTATCTTTTTGTTTTGCTGGCGTTCCAAAATCAAGTGTATGCTTTTTGAAAAATTGGCACCATCTGTCCCTTTCTAGCACCCACGTACGCGGGCGTGGGAAGACATGGCCATGAGCAACATACATACATACGCACACACATGCATATGCAGTGAAGTACATACAACAATTTGGGAACTATTATGGCGTACAAACATTTCATTTGTTCAATCTTACTTTCTTAGCGTGATTTTACGACTGTTTTCTTTTTTTCTTTATAGAACATTAACAACTTTTCGGTATTTGTTATAACATTGCTGTTCGGTTTTCGGTTTATATGTAGGATTTGGTTGGTTCGTTGTTTTGCATTTTGCTTTTCGGATTTCCTGTTTCAGTGTTTTGTTTGCGTCGCTGCTTACATAATGTAGAAGTGGTACAGTAGGTGGATAAATATATATATATATATAGAAGCATACATGTATGGCATTTAGCAGTGGCCTTACATAGATGTATATATATATATGTATATTCGCATATATGTGTTGACATACATCTGATGTATACGTATTTGATGACGAAGTGGTTGTGAGGTACATAGATAGGTACGGGAAAAATCGTTGAAGTTTTCGCAAATCGAATAGCGACTTTAGTCTTTTTTTCTGATACTATATGTATGTACAGATTTATATATATGTGCGTGAGGCAAGCGCGCGCTCTCGCTCGCACCCGCTTGTAGCTTGCTCTCGCCCTCTCTCTCTGCCTGCGGGCCCCGTATATCAGTATCTCTCCCTTTCTCTCTGTCTGTCTCTGTTACGCTCATGGACAGAATACAATATACAAAAACATTAAATTAATAAAACTTTTCGTCCAAAACATATTAATGAGGAGTTGTGTTGTTAACAGTTCAACAGATCTACTTAAATGAACTAGCGGTGTGAAAACATAAAAATATCAGTACATCGATATCTTTTGAAGCGGACATATCGTCGTATTTGATGATATCGTGATATCGATATTTGCACCTAGTATATTTGGTATTTCTTTAAAGCCGAGCACGCAAGCTTACCTTTAAAGCTTAAAGCTCGCTAACTCCGTAAAACATCGACGTTTTTTAAATTATAACCTTGCTGTGCTGTTTTTAAGCTTGCACATAGTTTATTTATTTTATATTTAAGAACAATCTTATTTGTTTTTTGAGCATGATTATTAAGTAGTATTTACCAGTCGTACAATCTCTCGCTGTTGTAGAAAATTGCATTTAAATTGTTCTGACACGCCACAGCAATGTATCGATATTGAGAGGTGGAAGTCGTGTAATCGACATCAGCGGATGCAAATTATCCACTAATCGATTTTCGTTCTTTATTAATTTAACTCGAAACATTTTGGCCATGGCCAGATCGAATCTGCTGATCCACCTGGACACCATACACCAAGACGATCTGATCTATGCGGAACGGGACATGAACTTTGCCCAAAAGGTGAGGCCACCTTCCTGGGATCTCTTTTTGAATATGACTCAAATTATTTACGTATCGGTTATTAAAACAGCAGAATTGTGTTTTTTTATATTCAGGTGGGCCTCTGCTTTCTGCTGTACGGAGACAACCACTCGGATGCCACGTACATTCTGCAGAAACTGTTGACCATGACACGATCGGACTTCCCGCAAAGCGATCTACTCATAAAGTACGCCAAATCCCGACCAGAAACCTGGAGAAGACATCTCGTGGAAGCTCTGTGCATCGTTGGAGCCCGAAAGGTGCTCCGTAAACTGGGTTTCTGTTGGCAGGAGCTAAAAATTCACTACTTGCCGCATGTCGCTGGGATCACGCTGCATGTGCATCCACTGTTGAAGAGCCTTTACAGGATGTGTGAGGAGTTGTCGGTGGCGCAGAGTGGTCGCTTGGTCCTAGATGTGGGCGAAAAGGTGGCGCGCCAGCAGGCAGGAGATCCACTTCGCTTCTACGATCCCATGTACCTGGAGATCTTTTTGCTGGACTGGCTGACCAGAAGATGCATACAGCTGGGGGACATAAATGTCATAGGCAGCAATGTTCAGCTGCTGATTGAGCATTTGAAGTTTAACGATTTAAAGGAGCAGGCCAAGTTGCTCATAGACACAATCATTAGTAACGCTCCAGAGCCAGATTTGGCTGAGATTGATGCGATGACAATCAAACAAGAGACCGAATCGGACAACCAGCAGTCGTCCAGCTGTTCCACAGCCGCAGCGCCTTCGAAAGCATCTGCTTTGTGCCGAATAAATGCTCTTAGGTTGACTCGGGAGAACGCAGGAATCGCCTTAATCATCAACCAGCAGGAGTTTCACCGGAATGTTAGCAAAGATCTTAAGGTTGCATCTCTGCTATATTAAGTAACAAATACAAGTATATCATTGCTGTTCCTTACAGAAATTTCTGTCACCCAAGCCTCTGAAAATACGCATTGGCACGGATGTGGATAAGAAACGACTAACCGAGGTATTTTCCTCGATGGGATACAATGTGGAGGCATACGACAATGTGGACCACCTGGACATCGTGCAGCGCATTCGGAGTGCGTGCGATAGATCGCTTCTGCGGGATTCCCTAGTGGTCTGCATCCTGAGCCACGGCTTCGAGGAGGCCGTCTACGGGGCGAACAGCATCGCCCTGAAGATCACGGACATCGAGAACGTGCTCTGCAGCTACGAAACGCTGTACAACAAGCCCAAGCTGCTAGTGATACAGGCCTGTCAGGAGAAGCCTGACCAGAAAGAGGAGCAAAACCAGCTTGGATTGCCCGTAAGGAGATTCATGGGCATGCCCAATTCATTTTACTAGAACAGCTATTACATCTTCCTATTCCTCGTTCAGTTTAAGATCGACGTGACCACCCAGTCGCCGAGCCAACACATCAACTTGGTGCGGGCCATGTCTACGGTGAGTGGATTTCCTGCTCTGCGACACACCCATATGGGCAGCTGGTTCATCCAGAGCCTGTGTGATGCCATAGAATGCCATTCTGCCAGGTAAATAGCTGCTGAAGCAAGCCGATTCATACTAAGTTGTTTTTTGCGACGTTTAGTGAACACATCGCCGATATCCTGATGATTGTCACCAACGAAGTGTCCGAAAAGCGAGGCCAAAACGACGAGTCCATGGTGCCAAATGTTCAAAGCATATTCCGCCAGCACGTCTACTTTCCACCTCGTCTGTGATTGTAGTTATACTATTATTAAAATAATTAATTAATAATTATTCTAGTGTCTTTGGTATAACCACTAGAATAATAAGATGCGTAACGCCATACGATTTTTTTGCACACGATTTTTTCGGGCTGGCTCTAGAGCTGGGATGAGGGATACCAATTTGATCTTGCAAGTAATCACACCTAAAATCACATACAGTACACTCACTGCTCGACCGGTGAGAGAGATTACTTGAACTATTTTGCGATGCATGCATAAATACATACATACATGCATGCATGTATGCATGCATGCATACATACATACATACACGCATTACACGTAACACATACACTACATACACACATACATGCATACATACATACATACACGCATTACGCATCTTATTATTCTTGTGTCTTTGGTTATACCCTGTACTCGTTACCGCCCATATCTGTCCCGCCTAATGTTTTTCATACTTTGTAAATATTGTTTTCTTGTATTATTGGGCGAACCGAATTTCTACCGATTTTCCAGAAAATGTCGAAATTTGTATCTGTTAGTCTCGACTCGACTAAAGCATTCATTAGCTTTTGTATGGGCACTCAAATAAAAGTTAAAAAAATTGTTAAATATTGTTAAATATGTAAAATAGCCATATTCTTTTAAAATATTTTGCTATTTATTTAGAGACTTCAAAACTAATTTAATATTTCACATAAGAAGTTGCTAAAGAACAAAAAACTTAAGTTAGCTTATATTAAGCAAGATATTAATACACTTTATCTTAGGTTAAGCCCCCACTGGGGTTATGTTTATCGATTTATGTTTATGGATTATTATTTTATATTATGTGACGTGCTCCTCATCTTCCACAACCATGGGTTCAGCGGCTGCCTGCTTCATCGCCTTCTTGGTGGGCTGAAGACTTTTAGCGACGATTTGGATCTTTTCACGCAGTTTCTGCCTCTTCTGGTTTCCTTGGGCGAGGATCTTGAGCAGCAGATTGAGTTCCTTGGAACTACTGGCCTCCGTTTCCAGTTCATTCACATATCTGGCTATCTGTTTCTCAAACTCCTTGGAAGACGAGCTGTTGTCCTTAAAGGCGGATTCGAGTCGGCGACATTGCTCACTGAGAAGCTTCAATATCTGTGCCCGCCGAAAACTGCGTGTTTTTTTCACGTCCAAATGGGAGGCCAGGGCAACGGCCAGCGGAGCAACGCCCTGCCATTGACCAGACTGAAAGAGGGCCTCGAAACTAGCCAGAGATAGGCGACTACGACGTTTGGCTACCCACAGCTCCAGGAATTCCACCAGAAGAGGCCATACGGTGCTATTCTTGGGCTCGCCACCTGCTGATGCCTGGCTGACCAGGTAAGCGAAGCACTTATCTCGCCAAACTATGATGTCTGCTTTGGCCTGTCGGTTGGCGGGTTGCTTGCTATTCTCCTGGTCTTCTTCTGAATGCTCCTCGCCAGACGACATCAACTGCTCAATGGCTCCCAGAATGGGTGCGTTACTCTGATTTTCCTGGAGTTCAATGTTTCTGGCGAGTATCTTTTTAAGCAACTTCAAACTGGCTTCTCGCAAGGATTGCAGTTTGCTATCTCCGCTGCAATGGCGGTACACCTGGAAAACGCAATGCAGCACGTCCAGGATAACCGACTGAGTTGGTTTCTTGGTTATGAACAGCTCCAACAAATCCAAGGCACGAATGCGAAAGTGCAGCAGGTTGGTGTTATCAATGCGTTCCGATTTGGTCGGACGCTCCTTCTCCTGGGCTTTGCGCGACTTGGGTCGGAACAACTGAAAAGAGCGCTCCAAAGCAGCATTTAGGCGTTCACCCTGCTCCTCGTCAACATCGTTCCAGTCCACGCTGCTGGCGCCGTCGTCATCTGCGTCGCCATCGTTGACCAAAGCCTGGCGAACGCTTTCTCGAATCTGGGCCAAATGGGACTCCTCATCGTTCTCGTCCTCCTCCTCTTCATCTTCATCGCCGTCCGAGTCATCGCTCGAATCTTTCAACGATTCCTCCTCCTCGATTTCCTCGTCGCTCTCCTCCTCGCCCTCATCCTTCTTGCTCAAAGGATTTCTGTTCATGTTGAGCACTTCGAGGACCTGTTCGAGGTTACCGTGCTCGAGGTGGGGAATCAAAGCGGTGGCCACCAGATGGACAAACTCACGCCAGAAGTGACCTGTTTGCAAAAGTAACTGGAGTAGGGCATCTGTGAGCACATCCTGCCATTGGAGCTCTTCGTTATCCTGGGGAGCAGCAATTATTTTCGAGTTAAGTACGAGTAGAGTTAAGTGTAGGTTCTACTTACCTGTTTCTTGCTCTTTTGCAGTGCGTTTTTACGGCAGATAATCAGATCATCCAACACGGTGACGGATAGGGGAATCTTTGCGCACAAAGCCAAAGAAACAAACAGGATGAGAGCCTCGAATGTTTGGCCAACGACATCCGTTTCCTGGCTGGGCTTTGCCAGCAGTTTCTCGACCTGTTTCCATGCTTTCTGCAGAGATTCGTCTCTCGGCGAACGCAATTTGCTCTCTGCATCCGCCTGTGCCAACTCTTTGTTAAGATAACTCAACGTCTTCTGCAGTAACTGGCAAAGTCCTGGCAGACCCGAGCACTTGTGCAGCAGGGAACCCAGGAATATTTCCTCACAACGCGCCGAACACTGGCGACTGAAAGCGCTGGCTTTTGAGGCTTCGCACGGCTTCTTACTGGCATCTAAGTGGAAAAGGCCAGCGAGCAGCAAGTAGTTCAATTGCTTCTGACGCCATTTGGTTGCCTGGCTAAGCGCTGAATGGTGCAGTATCAACTGCATCTGGTTCAGGCAGTGCACTCGGCTGACTCTATCCTCATCCTCCAATGAGTACAATTTATTGTTGTAGAAATCGTACAGCTTCTGGAGACTCTCGACGCTCAATTGATTTATTAGCTGCTGGCAGAAGCGCGGCAAGCTAATCACCGAGTCCAACTGCAATGTGTGGTCCAGTAATTTGAGCAGCAGCTGAAGCTTGATATAATCGTTTTGGAACTGATTTTCGAAACATAAAACCAAGGATGCCTCGAACTTAAAGCAAATCTCCCTCAGCTTCTTTTGGGAGGGTTTCTTGGCCTCACCTTTATCCCATTTTACAGATGAACATTCCTGCAGCAGAAATTGTACACAGGTAGGTGTAAAAACATCCAGGATGAGCTGCTCTTCCGTTGGCTTAAAGTTGAGGAGAACGTGGCTCAGTACTTGGATCGCACACGCCTTGGCTGCATTTACTTTTAGTGGCTGCTTGGAAGCGATGTACTGCTCCCAGGCGGCGAGCATTTCCTTCCCACCATTTACAAGAAAGATAGCCAATCTAGTGTATACGCCATCACTGTGAATGGTGGAGCCGGAGAAATACAGATCGAAGAGCTGTGTGTACACTGGTTTCTTGGGCCACAAGCTGGCTAGAATGTCCGCCCGTCCCAGTACGGACGAATAGGTCAAGTGCACGGCCAGCAAAACATCGCAGGTGTTTACTTTCAAGCCACTCAGGGGCTTGTTTAACTCGGGTTGCAGAAGTGGCCACACGTACTCCTCGAAGATCGCAGCAGGTAGCTAAGGTTAAATCATAAGAAACTGTAGTTAGCCCCTTTCGGAACAGCTTAAACACCAACCTGTTTGAAGGAGTCTGCTAGGATATCGCCACACATGGACACCAAGTACTCCCTGCCCTTTAGCTGGGCCGCTAGAATCTGGAAGACTGCCGTTACCAGCTTGGGCTCCGCCTTAGCGAACTGCGGGGTCTGCAGAATGCAAAAGGCTGTAACCAACTGACCGACGGCAGCTAGTGAGTCCTCCTTGCCCCTCTGCTGGCTGCCAACGGCCAGATCTCGCTTTAGCGTCTCCAGAACCTCAAATGCGTCAATGGCGGGCACGGCGGTTAGGATGCAGTGTATATAACTGGCGGCCAGGACGACCGCATTCATGTCATCTGCACCTGTGGAGCGGATCAAGCGCTTGAGCACGTAACAAGTGGTCGCAGTACGCTGATGATGAAGAATTTTAAGAATTGGTCAACGGAGCTGCCCAGACAGCTTGTAGAGACCCACCTGTTCAGCATTTGTGTCGTCGCGTAGCAGCGTTACGAGGGAATTGATCATCTTCTTGGTTAGTTGACTGCCCTGCATCTTCTTGAAGACCACAAACACGGCTTTGTTGATTTGCGACATCTTCAGGTTCCCGTTGCTCGCCGTGTTTTCCTTCTCATCGGTTTCCGATGGCTTTGGCTTCTCCTGCTTGGACACCCGCGCAATCTTGGCCGGTCCCCCCGTGTCCGCATTCGATTTCAGGGATTTTGTCCGTTTGCGGTCCTCCTTGGTTTTTGTCATGGCGGGTGCACCATTGGTCATGGCTTTGTCCACTTTGCTCTTCATTTCTGCTCCGGTTTTAAGGATATCTTAACTTACCTTTTAATTTCAGAAATAACGTGCTGTTATTATTTTATATGCACGTGCGCGAAGCTGAATTATCGATAGCTGGGTTGTTATCGGACCATTTAGTTCTTTGAAATCGAGAGGCGTTATTTTGTCTATCGAAGAGTTACCTCAGAACATTCGAAATTCAATTTGAAATTGTTCAATTGACTAATTGTTCATTGCTTCAAGTTATAAAGGTTGGGTGATTTCGTAACCCTTATTTGTGGCTCAAGATATTGGTATCTATTTTAAGTTTTGCCATAATATTTTACATATAATATTTGCTTGCCAATGTCTGCTTCCAGCTCATTTCACCACAAAATGCTTAACTGTTGCAGTTTTTATACTCTTTCCGCAGGCCTAAAGCTTTCGGCTGTCAAATCTGGCAGTCTGGCAACGCTCGCGCACCTATCGATACCAAAGCACGACTATCGCCCACCTCCAGCTGCCACACTGTTTCCTGTCCAACTTTTTTCGCTCTTTCTTTCTTTTAACAGCGACTGAGGTAGAGTGTTATTCCGCGAAAATAAATCCAAATTCAAGTCCGAGCGCCGGCGAAGTGTGCTAAATCGCCTGCTGAAGTGCTTGCAATCCAAGTGCGCTTGATCCGCTCCCCACTTTCCCATTTTTTTTTATTTTTTTTTGAGTGTTCATCTTTTATTTTCCGCCCGCGTGCTCGCGGAAGTCGCCCAGCAAAGATTACTTGTGTGCGAGTGTTCTATATGTGCGTGCCTCTCGAAAGACCAGAGAGGATGAAGATGGTCTTCACCTGATTTCACGACTCGCAGTTCGCTTGGGTCGCGGGGCCCTTGGCATTCCATGCCAGATTCGGCAGGAACCGCGTGGCGAGGAGCATGGGAATTCCAGACGCACGCACAAATAAGAAATTGCCTGGCGATTTCCACGAGCACGCGTCTGTGGAGTCTCAAAGTTGTGCGGAGGTAATAATAGTCTCTCGTTTGCATCCGCAGTTAAAATGGCAGTGCGCTACGAGCTGGCAATTGGCCTGAACAAGGGCCACAAGACCACGAAGATCAGGAATGTGAAGTACACCGGCGACAAGAAGGTGAAGGGTCTGCGTGGATCTCGCTTGAAGAACGTAAGTTTGCACTGCACGGCCCGACTTTGTTTACGCGGCTGACCAAACTCTAATGTGCCTTGCAGATCCAAACCCGCCACACCAAGTTCATGCGCGACTTGGTCCGCGAAGTTGTGGGCCACGCTCCTTACGAGAAGCGCACGATGGAGTTGCTGAAGGTGTCCAAGGATAAGAGGGCCCTGAAGTTCCTCAAGCGCCGCCTGGGCACCCACATCCGTGCTAAGAGGAAGCGCGAGGAGCTGTCCAACATCCTCACCCAGCTGAGAAAGGCCCAGACCCACGCCAAGTAAACGGACGGAATCTGATTCGGCATCGGAAGGGAACCTGGAACGCTGTCTTGTGTTTTTATTTGTTTCCGGTGACGTTACTTGAGAGCGGACCTAAGCAGCCCAGAATTAAACAACAAAAAAACTTTAAAAACCCAACCACTACACGTGTGTTTATTTTTTTCGAGTGCAGAGGAAGCTAACCTCACAAATGGCCCAGAAAATGCATAAAAGAGCTTAAGATGTGAAGGACTTCCGCCAAGAGGAGGTTTACGTCCTGGGAACTGAAACCTAAGTTACCCACAAACGCAGCTAGAAACTCCCTTTGGTGGCAACACTTCCCTGTGGAAGCTATGTTCCCAAACGAAGTAGTTTAATCCACTTGTATAGTTAGGTTTGTGCAAGATCCTTAAATTCCAATGGTTGAAGCGTAGTGACCATTTTTCACAATTTTCTCTGTGTACAAGCTAATCAATTACTGATGTAATCAGGCATCATCTTATATATTTCTTTGTATATTTTTTTCGGAATATGGATAAGTGCTTTCAAATGGAAAATAGTTATATTAACTTCCCAGAGGAAAGGGAAAGGCAAATTTTCCTGACGCTATTTTTTATTCGCTAAATAACTTAAGAAGTAAAGTCAAGTCACTTATTGCCTACTTACAGACATTTCGCACAAAGAAAACTGTTTGTAGATATGATAGTTAATAGTCAATGCATTTTTCGGCTTTGATACAAATTACTAGCTTCAACTTACAAAACCTAACTAGCCCTTGAAATTCTTTTTATGTCTTTAGACTTTAAGAAGTACTACGCATTCGAGTTTAAGGTGAAATGGAAATGAATTAAAATATATGGCCAGTGCACAAGTATACAAGTAAGAACCGAATACAAATGCGAAACGAAAATGAAAACTGACATTTAACATTGCTATATTAAATGATAAAAACGAAGAGTGGGGCACAATAAAAATTAGTTCACAAACATAGAGCAAACAGTCGCAATTGCAATACAATAAATGAGAAATGGCCTTATTCTACAAGCACTGCAGAATTACACCCTTAAGCTGCTAATTTGATTCAATTCCCAGAGTAACATGACGCCTTGACTTTCCCTTTTCCTAACGCACTACGATTAGTTTTCTTTTGTGCAAGGGGCACTGCGTTCCTGGGTGCTTTGTCGTCCCATCGCATTAAGTTCTACGTAGGTCTAAATGCCTAATGTAAAGGGCACACGAGATCAAAAGTGTTGGCTGCCGGTCGGCTCGATTCCTCACAGCTCCTCCGATAGGCTGGGCAGGGAGATTACCACTTCGCCCATCAGCTGCGCCTCGTGCGGATCGTTCGATACGATGATGCGCTCAAACTCGGTGTTTGTGGGATCAACGATCTCGTAGCAGGATCCGGTGCCTGGCTTCAGATCAATCTCCAGCGAGACGTTCACCTGCGGCGATAGTATTTGCTGGGTCACCTCCAAGCTCTCGATGCGCGTCGTCTCTAAGCGGTAGAACCCGTTCTCGTCCACTCGATAGGTGAATCTCTTGTGACCCGAAGGCAGACGGAAGCCGTGTTTCTTGATGAGGTGAGCGGAGAGAGACTTACCGCTCTTGAAGAAGCGCTCGCAGCAGTGACATGCGTACAGAATGGGATTGTTGCCGTGCACCTCCAGGAAGTGCTGTGAAAGAAACCGAATTTTTACTCGCTGTTGAGCCGATGGCAGCACGAGAATCCAGCACGGACATCGGCTGCGTCGTTTGCAAGTAGCACTAGGGCTTACTAGGTGGCTTACCCTTCGCATCTGCGTGTAGGTGCGCACAGAATAATGACAGTCGGGATGCTCGCACTGGTGCACCGTCTTCGAGTGGACAATCTGGACGTGTTTGGCCAGATCCGACTCCCGAACGCAGCGTGTGTCGCACTCACTGCACTTGAGCGGCTTGTCCTTGAGGTGGCGGTACCGAATGTGAGTGGTCAGCGAGCTGGCCGAGCTGCAGGTCATGTCGCACATGGTGCACTTGTAGCAGTTAACGTGCCGCACCACGTGGCTCTTGAGCAGCTTCTTGGTGGCGAAGAACTTAAAGCATTGCGCGCACTGGAAGCTGTTTGCTGCAACGGATTAAAGGGTTACCAAGTAGTTAGGTAAATGAAATTATGAAGGTTTAAGTAGTGTGATTTTTGTCGGGAATAAGGTATAGATATATGTAGATATGACAGCAACGGATTGAGTGTCTCGGAGGGGCAATCATGCACTCACTGTTGTTTTCCGGCTGGCGTCTAAGGTGATCAAAGAGTGTAGTCTTGGTGCGGAACAGTTCTCCGCAGTGGAAGCAGGCCACCTGTTTCTTGTTGGAGTGGGTACTGATGTGTTCGATGAGGCGGTACTTGTTGCCCATGTGTTTGTGGCACATGGCCCAGTTGCACATCGTCTTGGGGCGCTCGTCCTCGGGCGTCTTCTGTATATCATACTCGAACAGGGCGTGCTTTACAATGTGGTCCTGGAACTCCACAATCGAAACGAACTCCCTCTCGCAATCGGTCCAACCACATCGGAAGTTCTGGCCCAGAGCGGGCAGCTTATCCATGAGGCGGGCCGGAGCAGTGCAGGCGGGGATTTCCGGATGCAGATCGCACTCCAGTTTCCCCTGCAAAAGCAGGTTCAAGTAGTAGCCGTGGTAGTACGAATGTCGTTCAAATTCCACCCGGTTCGCGGTGCGGAAATCGCAGGAGTTCCATGTGCACTGATGCTCCTGCGCTGCACTGTGCTCCGAATGTGCCCCCCGATTGTCGAGGGCCCGTGCATAGTGCTCCAGGTGCTCGGCAATATGCCCATTCAGGTTCCACTCGCCAGTGCAAATCTCCTGGCAACCGCGCCATCCGCAAGTCAACTCCAATTCCGCGGGCTTCTTTCGTTTGCCAGGTGGCTGAGGTGCAGGCACTGATGTCTGGGGCCTTAGCATGGTTTTCCTTGCAGGATTTACACTTGGAAATCCCGGAAATTAGTTCAATTTGAAATTAAAAGTAAATCTGGAGCAAACAACAACTTTATCGGGGAGCTGGGTAAATCGATTTCTCATCGATAATGGTCTCTCCAGAAATCGATGTATTGCTTTCGATGTTCCGTGTTCATTTTCTTTCAGGTTAGTTGAATATTTGTGGTTTTATATCTCTGCCAACTTATATATGTTCAATAACTTTAGGAAAAGCGATTGAATTGCTATCGACAGTGCCGAAATTTTTTTTAACTTAGATGATTTAACTTAGATGAAACCAGTTCCAGTTGGACATGACTTTTAGATCACTTTAAAAAACGACTTGAAGAACCAAGATTTATGCATGTTTTTACAAATCTAAAGCTCTCAATAAATTGGAATCTTTGGCGCACTTTCTAGATACGATAACACACATAGCCAATCGAAAGCGCGCATCTATCGATTTGCGGTTTGCGGTTATCGTGCAGCGGAAATCGGAAAAACGTGTGGAAAAGGTGCGTGACTTTTTGTTGTGGAATTCAATCCGATTTTCACAGATTTTCTGGTTCTTCCCACGCAGCATTAGCGAGCAAGAATGTCTGGACGCGAGGGCGGTAAGAAGAAGCCTCTGAAGGCGCCGAAGAAGGACTCCAAGGACCTGGACGAGGACGACATGGCCTTCAAGCAAAAGCAGAAGGAGCAGCAGAAGGCTCTGGAGGCGGCCAAGGCGAACGCTTCCAAGAAAGGACCTCTTGTCGGCGGCGGCATCAAGAAGTCGGGGAAGAAGTGATACTACCACGCCTCCATCTGAAAACTGTAATCCGCAGCCCGTAACCCACTGGATGCTGAATTGCCAGCCGAAGCACACCCATGTGGACCATATTGAATCGTCTATCCTGCATATAGACCCTAATTCTTTTTATACTTACGATTACCATTAAATAGATCATTGTACGTCAGGATAGAGATTTATTGTTCCGACGGATTCTTTCGCGTATATCTAGGCCTTTGGGAAGCTGGACTGCGTCCCGTGGAGCTGCACGGATTGCGAGGCCACGGCACATGCGGCGGCTATGTGGTCCTCGAGTTTCCCATTTGGATGACGGGCCAAGTTGTGGGCCAAGGCCCCAATGAAGGCGTCGCCGGCCCCCGTCGTGTCCACCACCTTTTCGGGCGGCACAATCGGAGCAGCCACATGCTGGCACACGCCCTTGGAGTCGGCGGAGCCGAAAACGGCTCCCAGTTTCCCCAAAGTTATGATCACCGTGTTGGCACCTGCCTCTATCAGCTTTCCAACCGCATCTTCGGCTTGCCTGGCAGGAGAAGGACCCGATTTAGTTGGGAGTGAACCTGGTTTACGTATCGCACTTACTCCACGTTCCCAATGTCGCTCATCTTTGTCATTAAGGCCGCTTCGCTTTCGTTCACACAGAAGATGCTGGCCAACTGGAGCAGTTCAGGGGGTGTGTCCGCCATGGCCGGAGCCGCGTTCACAATGGACACGCCCCGGAAGGATTTGAGGGCAGTCAGGGTGGCCTCAATGGGCGTCTCCAGCTGGCAGACCAGAACCTTGGCTTCCCGGAAGAGCGGCTCCGCCGCGGAGACGTCGGATGAGCTCAGCTGATTGTTGGCGCCCACCACAATGATAATGTTGTTCTCGCCGCCATCGGACACGGCTATCTGGGCCACGCCCGTCGTCTGGTCCGCCAGCTGCTCGACGTGGTCCACATTGATCCGCTCCTCGCGCAGATGCCGCAAGTAGTCGCTGCCGAAGGTGTCTGCGCCTAGTTTGGCCACCAGAGCCGTGCGGGATCCCTGGCGCGCGGCGGCCACACACTGATTGGCGCCCTTTCCGCCGTAGCCAGTCTGGAAGCGATGCCCGTGAAGCGTTTCTCCGGGTCTCGGCAGACGGGGTGTGTAGCTTGACGAAGGGAAGGGTTGTGGTCAGATTCTTCCTAGGATCATGGCGTTCTGTGCCACCTACCTTATGAAGTCGATGATGGCCGAGCCAAAGACTAGCACTTCCGTTTGGGCCATGGGTTGGGGCAACCGTATTCGCAGGCGCTGCAAGTGCACTGGTCTCTTGAGGAATGGAGCAGCGAGTGCCGAGTGTCACACGCTTATCACACGAGATTACTTGACCTCGGCGGATGAGGGGCAAGGGCGAGAGCGGGGCAGTCGGCGGCGCACTATCAGCTAGCTGGCCCAGTCCGTTTCTGGCCGAGATCGGAGGCGGAGGTACGGGCGATAAATCGGCTGAGTTATAGCTAAAATACCAGAAAATACCACAATAATGAGATTATTCATATTTCGAATATAAGGCGCACTTTCGATAATTTTTGATGGCTTTTATTTCCTTTATTTACAAAATTTATTTGTTTATTCAAACAAAATTAAGATACTTAGATATTGGAAAGCTGGAAGATTGTTGGACGAAAGGTATTTCATACTTCTGGTATTTCAGCCGTTTTTTGGAATTTTACGTTTTTGAAGATGAAATGAACAATTTACCCATAATAACATTAGTGTTAACTTATGCGAATGTTTTATTCAAATCAAAACCGAAACCATTATAAAAACCCTTTTGAAAACGTGCAACGAGTGTCCCACACAGCAAATCATCACAAGAGGAGAATCCTCAAATAGAAAGAGAGGGCATCATTTAAATAATAAAGTTTATTAATATAAATGGTACAAATATATCGATGGGGCCGACGATTAAGCCAAAAAAACGACCAGAAACCATAATAGTCTATAGGTAATACATGCGATTTCGGACTGATTTTTGAGGGGAGACATAGCACATGGGGTTTCGATTTGGGAATACAGATAGAATAACAAGCCACTGTGTCCATGCACACAAGTTTGAGAAACGTATAACTAGCGAGCCTGTTTCGTTACTTCTCTAAGGTTTTGCTTTCTGTTCTGGGACGGCGACCAGATCGGGTTGGATCAGATCCCCAGATACCCAATGCCATGAGCACCTGGCTTCATCTCTGACTTAGCTTCCCTATTTACTAACTTCCTTATTCTCTATTATTGCGACTCGTGGCGGCAGGAGTGGGACAAACATTTTCCGGATTGCACGGCCAACAAGTTCCACGGAAATCCTAGATGCCAGCCCGCTCAAGGGCACTCAGCTGGTTGCCCAGGCGCTCCTCTTTGGCCTTGCGCTCGGCACTGATCTTCTTCGAGCTCTGATAGGTGTTGAGAAACGTCTGCACGTCGATCTTTCCGTTCAGGAAGTGCTCCACGTGCCGATCGCAGTCGGCATCGGCATTGGAAGCAGCTATCTGGAGAAGCTCCTTCGGGGGCAAATGGAACGTTAGTAACAGATTGGAATGGCTATTGACTGCTCAGCGGAAGCAAATCAAGAGGACTCACCCGAATATGCTGAGGGGCGTATTCCTCCGACTTCTTCAAGTACTTCTTGTTCAGCTGGTCGCATTTCTCGCCCAGAGTTTTTAAAGCTGTGTAATCATCGCTGAGTCGGCGCTTCAGCTCCACCAGATGACTGCCCTTGCTCTCGTTCTCTTCTGGTTTGGAAGGCAGGTTATTAGGATTTGCCAGCCTTTGGCCATGACCTACCCACTTGATATGTTCTCCACCTGGTTCATCATTGAGTCTAGCTCCTCGTTCAGGTGCTGCACCACGGACATCTCCTCGATGAAGTCGTCGAAGAACTCGGGATCCCTGTCCAGCTGCTTCAGTTCGTCCAGCGACAAAGTGGACAGATTGGGCATGTTGCCCGCCTCGCCGCCCTCCAAATCCTTGGCTTCGCTGTTATCTTGGGGATGTCTTTGGGCGAGAGCGTGGGCATGGGTATGACCTTGCGGTGAGTGCTGTGTAGTCGGCATTTTGTGTTTCCAATCTTAACTTTCGAATTCCAATTTAATTGCGTTAGTTCTACTTCGAATTTAAAAAAGTGTGATGTGTAGGAACAGAAATTTACCAGTTTACTGAGCTCTACTAAAACCGAGGATCGTCGGGGCGAAATGGAGCACCCTCTGACCTCCACAGGGAGTTGGCGACCCCGGCCGCAAGTCGCACAGTAGGAAATTCCCGAAGTTTCTGCCTGGTTCCGCACTTGTCCCTTTGCCGCTCTGCTCGCCAAATCTGCGACTGCTGATGTCCTGATCTTTCCTGCTTTTCCTTCGGATCGGTAGCACTGGCGTTGTTTGGCCCGATCGAAGTTTCATTATCTTCTGTTCTGTGTCCACTTCAGTGCTGCCACTGTGGCTAGTTTCCCGCCAGATTCGGATACTGTCCGACGCTGTCGGCAGGAGTCCGTGTCGCTCGCGCTTTCTTCAAAAGATTTGGCTATAGCTGGTTTTTAAAACTCAGTAATACCCTTCAAATATGTTTTAGTGAACTTTGCCATTGTTAAAAAGGTGTTAATTAGGCACAGAACACCATCGTTTTTGTAACACACTGGCCCAATTTCGGATAGGCACATTTTGGACATCACTCCGCTCACAATGCATCGCTGTTTGGCTTCCATCTGAGTGTGGATTTCAACTTTGTCGTGTAAAATAAGTTCAATTTTATTTTGTTTGTAACTGATTCAATTCTTGCAGCCTCAGTTCGAATCAGTTGGTCGATTTCAACCATGTGGCAGCCCTGTCTGCCAGCTGCTTGTCGCTTGTTTACATTTTGTATCTTTACATAACGAACTCAACATTTGTTGCAAATAAATACCGAATGGCGCTGTTTGAGATGAAATGGCTGCGCCGTTGGATGAGGCGCAACACGAATCCCATACCGGAGCACCGGGCGGAGCTGTGGAAGCGGCGCCTGAGCATCGGATACGCCGTTCTGGCCTGGCAGGCATTCGGCCTCGTTTGCTACATGGTCTACACCGGACGCAACGACTGGGCCAAGTACTACGGCTACAAGACGGAGGAGGACCTCGCCCTGTCGCCGGCACAGCAGTTCGCCAGGCACCTGAGGGTCGAGGGCACCGGCAAGATCATCAGGATCTCCGGGTTCCACAAGGTGGAGGAGGTGCCGTTCGACGCCAGCGAGGTGAACCAGGTCAAGGAGTAACTGGAGTGCCCACTAGCTCAGTGAACCATCATTTTTTTGTTAGCCAGCGTACGTTTATTGCCATTAAAGCTTAAAAATAGGACTTCATTGTGTTGTAGCCTCAATGGGAAAAAACGCGGTTCTAACACACTTTTTAATCATATCCGAAATTCAGAACCTGTCCCGATAAAAGGAGTGTGTGGGAGGCTGCACAATCGTGACGCCTAGCAGCGGGTTCATTCATTGTCACGACTCTCTGGATAATTAAAATGATTTAAAATTTAAATTAATATACATTTCATCTTTGATGAACAGTGTGACATTGTGGTATTTATAGGTACTCTAGCTACGGCCACACTAAGGCAGCGAAAAAGTGAAACTAATCGAAGATCTCCCATCGCCAGCAATAACAACAATAACAAAACGCAACAACAAAAAGCAGCGACGCGACGTCGACCGCGGACAAATCGTATCGTTAAACGATAACAAGCCACCACAATAACAAAATCCAAAGCAAAACCAAAAACGTAACATATTGGCAGGCTGCAACGGGACTAATCACGGCTATAGGCGCTGCTTAACTAACCAGTAGCACTCCGGTAGTCCGGCAATCGGTATCCCCGCGAGCGGCTGTGATTCCAATCGGAGATTGGCAATTCTGTGACTTCTATTAATAAAGCAACAAATCGAACAGTAGCATCCTCCTGTGTGTGGAGTCATGTGTTCCACTGCACACAAAAACAAGACAAGAAAAGCCATGTAAATGAATATTAATAGCCCGTCATCAAGGGGAGGTCATTGGCTATTTCTTTCGCTCGTCCGCTCCCCCAGTTTCGCCTATAACTGCACTTGCTCTGTCTGCAAAATAACGGGACTCAACAACAAATGGCATTTGCAGATGGCTGCCGCCGCATCGTCTAATTGGAATTTGTGCAAAGAAGAAGCGTTGAGAAAACAAAGAAATCTGCAAATAATTGCTAATTAGTTGCATTTCTGCCATTGTTTGGAGGTTTCGCTTGCGAATTTTTAATGTAATTAACGCGCCAGCTGTTTTTTCGAGTGTGTTCAGTGTGTGTGTAGCCCAAGCCTCCGATCTATTTTATTTTTGTTTTTTCGGTGTCCAAAGGTGCAAGTGCGTATGAATAGTAGTACACACAAAAACAACGGATTCGGAACCGGAGAAAACACAGTTAAAAGGAAGGGCTAATCTAGGAGAAGAACCGTTTGATTTCGGTTGCCGCTGCCTCCTCCTCCTCTGCCCCTCTCTCTCTCTCTCTCTTCAGCACCTCTCCATTTTCTACATTCGCCGCGGGAAGCAGGGTGAGTACAATGAAGAAACAAAAACTCAAAGAAATGTAAAGCATAAAGCAGATCGTAGTTGTTGGTGGCTTTTGATACAAAAACCATCAAAAGAGCATTATATCAATATCGGGAAAGTGAAATTTTGAAACTTCCACTTTCTGCTTCTGCACTAGCAACAAAAACGTAAGCAGCGCAGCAAAACGTAAACCATCAACAAAGCAACTTTTAACTCCGAGCCACGCATAAATGTTTATATTAGCGAAAACGAAACCATTTTCTAAAAATAATTTATTGTGTCCGCCGTTCGTACAACAACACACAATGTACGTAAGACAAGCGGAGCGAACAAAGGTCGATAAACACGAACAGAAACATAGTACATAAATATCAAAAAAGAGCCGCGTCTAATTCGAGTGGTAACGGTAAACGCTGCGCAGTCCGCTGCAGCGGCGAAAAGTGGCTTCAAAACTATTCAACACTGCTATTCCTTACCCCTACCCTTGCAGACTTCCCAACTAAGTTCCACCTCGGTTGCAAGGGGCACATGGCCATGTGGTCCTTTGACCTGTCCCGTCCTTCCATAGGCATTAAACTCCCTTGTGTTCTACATTTAAAGAATGGTCACCTCGTAAATTGATACACATCTCTGCTGAACAGATCTGTCCTCTGTCATCTGATGTCCGTAATTTCTTGAAAGTGTGGGAAAAGCACCGATATTGCCAACACATTTCTTTCGCGCGCCAAAGCGTAACATTCTTAAACGCGGGTGTCACAGAAATCATTTCCATTTTCAAGGCGCGCTGGAAGGCGAACTGCTGGGCGATAGAACTCCACCAAATTTGGTTGGAAAGGGTTTGGGTGCCACCGAAAAAAAAAAACAAATCTTACAGATCTTTTGCCTTTTAAACGCCAGTGAATGGCCGGGGGGCTTTGAACCCCCCTCATGTAACCCATCTGAAAAAACGTTCGGCTTCTTTTACTCATTATCATTTCTTTAATATTTTGGGGGACGGGTGGTAAGCTCTGTTTCGGGCTGGCCTTTTGGTCATAGACCTCTTACGTATGTACGTAGCTTGCAAGTAATACAAATCATAAAAAGAGAAATGGGGTGGGGAAAGAGGGAAGAAACGTGGAAGTGGCAGAAATGCTGAAAGCCGCGACTGAATCCCCTCTCTCCCGCTGAATGGCAGACACGCTTTGCTGCTTCTTGCGGTTTCTTCAGCAGCTTTGCTGCCTTGTCTTTGATAAGGCCCACGCTGGAGAGGAGACAGCAGAGGAAAAGCTCAGAAGAAGGGAGTGAAGTCTTATCCAACTGGGCGACACTGAGAGAAACTAAAACCCCCCGCCATTGAATTTCGTAGTGCCACGTTAAACGTTCTGGAGCTCATCAACATCACCTGTGATTCGTAATTTACATATAGTTATAGCATTCATTTCGTAGACAACTAAAGTATCTAAGTAGACAACAAATATCTACCCGTTGGGTTTATTCCAGTGTACTGAAGAAAATTTCGCTGGTCAAGAGCTTAATGAAATTATTTATTGCCTAATTATTATTTTTATCAAAATTATTCTTAGCCATTCTCTAAAAGTTAAGGAATTAACTCTTCGACAAAACTGCGTTTGTATGAGTTCATTATTATGATAAAATTTCTTATATCAAGTCCAATTATTTGAAAGTGACAGTTTTTCGCGCCCATCCAGTGTTGAACATCGTGTCACGCATGCGCCGTGCCCGCAGCGCCCCGGCGTTGAGTGTTATCGGGTATATCGATATGCGCAGTCGACTAGACACTTGTTGTTGTCGGGAAGCAGCAGAAAACCGAAACGCGCGTCGCTTTGTCGCCAGTTGTTCGCTTATTTGGTGTCGTGCGTGGCTTGCCTCGTTTTGCGTAATTTACCTTTATTTTTGTTTACTGTTTCCCAACGAAATATGTGCTGCAGTTAAGTTTAACAAAATTAGCAATGAGCAACAAAGTTCTTCGCTCGGTACGTACGTTTCGTGTAAAAGTGTGCGTGTATTGTTTGAGCACCATATTGGTGTGCGTGTGAAGTTGGCCTTTCGTTTTGTTGGCGTATTGCAGTTTTTTTTACGAAAGAGAGTGTGAAAAGGGAAATAAATTCCTTTTACAGCTATCTGGTGTACATAGTTAGACGGCATTGCTTATGTTTGATTGTTGACGCGTTGATTCATTATCCACCTTTCTCTCGTTCTCTCTTTCTGATTTTCATTCAATTACTGTTCCCTTTCTGGCAACTCCATTGTTGTCGCTGCCTCTCGTTGAAGGGCAAGCAGATCTCCGCTCTCACTCGCTCTCCCAACATCCTGTTTTGCCCTCTCTCCCAGCACCGCATTTAAAGTATTGCATAGTTCCCGAATTTGGGCGCGCATTCAAATTGCAGCTGAAAATAAGAATACCAATGCCAAGTTGGATGCCGTGCTTGTGTTCTATCCAAATATCTAACTTATCGCTATACAAACATGATAAAGATAAACCCCCGCCCTGGTGATAAGAAAAACTCCCGTGTCCATTGGCAATTAGGCAAAAAGTGTTCCTCTGAATACATGAATTTTATTTCGTGTTTCGCTCGTGCTCAGCATGATGTCACTTCACTGTTTGCGTTTCAATTTTTAGCCCAAAGTAAAAGACACAATTTGTATGTTTCGCGTGGGTCGCTGTCACAAAAAAGAAATCCAAATAGAAATCACTCGAGGCCATAAATGGCAAACCAGCTAAATTTAAAGATCTGACTGTTTTGCAACACTTCTGTTCGGCGTGTTGCAAGTGCGGCTCCGCTGCGGTCAGCTGGCAATGCCATTTGCTCAGTTGCAGTTCACTTTGTTCTCCTGTTGTCTTTTTGCTCCGTTTTCGTGCCGCGTCGTGACATGAGTAATCCGGTGTGCATGTGAAAGCACACACGCACACTTCTCCGGGTTGATGAGTGGTGTGAGAGGTGGGTTGGGGTGGTCTCTGTGGCCAGTGGGTGAAGAGAAAGAGTCCTCTCTCGCGCTCACAAGCCCAACGCCTACAGCAGAGGTCAAGGATATGGTGATTCGACGTGTATTATCCGTAGGAAATGCGATCCCCGTTCTGGCAAGCCTTGTATTCTTTTCTTTAACTTCTGATGCTGGTGGCTTGGCCCCGTTTGTCCAGAACCAGAAGCGTACGTGTGACTTTCAGTGTGTTCAAGTGCGGCCGTCGAATTGTTGGCGTTGTAGCAGGGCCCGGGTCTTCTATTGCCATTCCATAACCATTCCAGCACCGGGCTGGTAGAAGTGGATCACAAATCCTGGAGTGCCTTTAATTGATAATCGGGTGTGAATGAAAATGCGATTGTGCGTTTGTTTTGGTTTCTCTCTTTATCTCTCTCTTAGCCGCTCTCCCAGTGACAAAAACAATGCACTGTGATTGTTCGCCGCCGCAAGCGGGTTGTATTGTTGTACACTTTTGTTGCATGCAACACGAGCATCTGTTGCTTGTGAAATCTAATTTGAAGCCGCTTTTCTCTATTCACCCATTGACTCATTCGTCGCCCGTCTTGTAGTACAAGTTCTGAGCGAAATAAGTTTATAACAAGAATCTGAAAAAGAAGTTGCAAAGTGCGACAAGTGATATTCAACGACAAACGAAAAAAAGGCGAAAATGTAAATTAAATTTGCATAATTACACATTAGGAATCATTAAAAGCACTACGAACGATAAAAGATCAAAGTAATCGAGTTTAGCCCCAGACTGCATTTAGTACACGAGCCACAATAAATCAAATGATGGTTAATATTAAATACGTTTAAAAGCAACAAGTATATTGTTGATGGTTCACGTTTTGCAACGAGCAAGGAACGACTGGCAGCAAGATGATCAAACTGAAATCCTTGTTCCGCAGAGGACAGGGCACCTCCAGCTCCCATTCCTCCAACTCGTCGCACAAGCAGCAGCAAAATTCCTCCAACAACAATCGTCAGAAGTCGCAATCGAGCACTTCATTGAATACCGCCCACGAGCAGCAGCAGCACAGCATCACCGCAGCAAAGTTCTACGCCCACCAGGAGACCGCCAGTTACGAAAGGGGCGTGGATGTGGGTGACGAGGGGGCGCTACTGCTGACCAATCAGCAGCAGGAACAGAGGCGTCAACAGCAGCAACAGCAGCAACAGCAGCAGCAGCTACAGCAGAAGCCTCAAAGCAACACCTTGCCTCAAAAGAAGTCCAAGCTCAAGGGCCAAAAGCAGCCAAAGCAGTTGCCAGTGCAGCAGCCACAAAGCAATGCACCTGAGCCACATGATCCACAGCAACCACTGATGACTTCCCTGGCAGCAGTGCCGCAGGCTTCAGCGACTGGGAGCTCCAGCAACAGCAACATCAATAACAACAACGCATTGGCCGCACTGCAAGATGGTGGCGCTGCTGCCGCCGCTGCAGCAGATTTCTACCAGCAACTAGCAGCAGCGGCCACGGCCACTGCAACAGCAACATCGGCGAACGGCAGCAACACCAGTGCTGATAGTCCGGTCAGCGCTTTTCCCGCAGCAGCAGCTGCCGTTGCTGTTGCCGCTGTGGCAGCAAGCAGCTACCAGCAACAGCAGCAGCAGCAACAGCAGCAACAGCAGCTCCTCAACAACGAACAGCAACAACAGCAACTACTAGAGGTAAGTTAAGTCTCTATTTGTTGCCCAGTTGTCATATAGTAATCGAACCTCAACCACACAGGCTAACAACAAAATGCAGGAGCTGCACAAACAGCTGGAGAGATTCAGAAGCGAGCAAATGCAACTGGAGACACGCATCACGGAGCTGTTGCCATACCAAAGCGAGGTGGCCAAGCTGAAGGGCGATCTGGTTAAGATGCAGGTGCGCAAAAGTTCGCCCGGGGGTGTAACTGGTGAAGATGGTTTGGGCTGGCTAACGGGGGGTGAACGGTAAGCGAGCACGGGGACGCTGGCTAACCACAAGTTGCTGCTGTGTTGTCACGGCTGATTGATGTTTCTGCTGCCTCTCCGGCGTTGATAAAGTCATCATATACACTTGCACTAAGGGGGTGGTCTAGAGAATTCAGTAGTAGGAAGTGAGCCATTTCAATTTACTACCTTAAATATTAGCATAGTTCTAGAGTTTTTTTATTTTTATAATGAGTCCGAAAAGAGTTGTATCTTACTTAGAAAGGCTACGAAAAACAAGGTTATAATCGGCGTAAAAGCGCGCTCTGGGTTAAACCGTTTTCTTGGACGCTGCGCTTCGCTACCCTCACTTATCCGCGAATATTAAATGCGATACATAGCGCTCCTTTAAGTGGGTGTAGTAGTCTGCTTTTGCGTCGTAATGCAACAGCAGCCACATTAGCGCAGCCCAGAGAGAAGTAACACTGATCAGTCTGATACTTGTGCTTACAGAGTCTACAGGAAAAGGCCCAGATGGAAATCGGCAATTTGAAATACGAGAATGAATCTCTGCGCAATCGGCTGCGGGACGTAGTAAACTCACCGCTGTCGGATGCGGAGAAGCACCAGATCATTCAAGACTCGCAGCGGCTGCACAGTTCAGCGCCCGCTTCAATAGCCCTGCCCAGTGTAAGTATTGCCAGACGATTTCTAGTGACGCAAAAGCCCCTAACATTATCCCCATTTCCTTCCCATATCCAGGCACACGATGCGCATGATGGCACACCCTGCCTCACTCCCGATTGGGATAAGCAATCATCCTCCAGCGAGATCTCTGTAGCCTGCCTGCAAGACAAGATCATTCAAATGGAGGAGACACACTACTCCACTAACGAGGAGCTACAGGCTACATTGCAGGAGCTGGCCGATTTGCAAACCCAGCTGACGGATACGCAGACGGAGAATGAGCGTCTAGCCGAGGAGAAGGATGTGCTCTTCCAGTCGCTATGCCGACAGACGGAGAAGCTAAATGAATCGCGTACACAGATTAGCACGCTGCAAGAGCTGATAATTCGGGATACCAAGCAGCCTGCACCCGAAGTAAGTGTTTCGGAGAGGGAGCAGAAGCTTCTGGATCTGATCAAGACATCACAGGAGGAGCGCGAGGCGGTTTTGCTCAAGCAGGAGGAACTGGGATCTGAGCTGGCGGAACTGAAACAGGCCCGGGAAGCTGGACAACAGGAGCTACAGCGCCAGAGAGAACGTATTGCCCTGTTGGATTCTCAGTTGGATGCAGCAAACGCAGAGCGGCGGCAAGGAGAGGCTCAGTTTTCGCAGGCCATGGAAGAGATATCGCAGAGGGCCATCGAAATCAGTCGGTTGAGCACTCTTCTGGAGAATGCGCGCTCAAAGATCGAGGAGCTGGAAGCGGATTTGTCCAGAGGAGACAAGACAGACCTAAGCGATGTGCTGGATGTGGCCAGAAAGGAGAAGGATGCCCTAGAAGAACGTGTGGCTGAATTACAAGATCAGTGCTCTCGCAGCCAAGCTGAGCTGAGAAGACTACGTGACCAGCTTTCCGGCTTAACTGAGGAATGCAAAGTGGTCAAGAATAACGCCAAGTGTGCGGTCTCTCACCTGGAATACCGCTTGGAGCAGCTCCAACGTGATAAGGACAAAATAGCTGGAGAATGGCAGGCGCTGGAGGAACGCGTGGCCGAACTGCAGGTTCAGTGCAAATGCCATCAGGAAGACAAAGCCCAGTTGCAATCCCTGCTAGCTGAAACTCAGCGCCATCTGGGCGATGTTCAACTGAAGCTGGGTGAGGCAGAGTGTAGACTCGACCAGGAGACACAGCTGCGGCGCAAGGAGGCCGAGGAGTGGCAGCAGTTCCAGGCCGACCTTCTCATGACTGTGCGAGTGGCCAACGACTTCAAGACTGAGGCGCTCAGCGCCCGGGAGCAGCTAGTTCTCGACAACAAGACGCAGAAAGAAAAGATCAGACTGCTGGAGCAGCAGCTTGAAAAACTTACCAAACAGCGTAAGCCCAGTTGCCGTCTGTTTATGTGATGAACCGCTAATGTTTAATGCTCTTTCTTAACCCTTACAGAACTGCAGCAGTCGGAAACTCCGCAGTCGGTGCTATCCACAGTTCAGCGTGAGATGGAGATGGCCACGCGACGCAGCAAGCTTAGCTTCAGCCGACAGGACTCGCGGCTGTCTGTTAAAACGCTCATTGAGAGTATTGAGAATAACAAATCGGTAAGAGGTGTGAAAGGTTATTCCTCCGCAAAGCAACTAACACCTTTGATCCTACAGCAGGGCAAAGCCGACGAGGCGGAATCCCACTACAGCTCGACGTCTAGCCTAAACAGCGGAACTCCTGACCTGGGGACTACGCCCATTATCTTTCCTCCCTCCAGTGACTGGCATGAGAGCGTGAGTATTCAATCGAAAGGGAATTCGAGTGCTCTATTCTATTTGTGTACTAAATCAATTCTTTACCTTTAATTCTCCACAGCTTCGGTTGCCTGTGCTGCAGAGCAGTAACTTGCACGTAAACGTTGGCAATCCAGCCGGTGCCGGACAGGGAAGCAATATTTCATCTGGCAGCGGAGGAGATTCAGCTAGCACTACCAAAGCCACTTTGCCGCTGCGCGATCAACAGCAGCAGCAACAGCTTGGGATAACAACTACCCAAAGCCAGATACAGAACGTCTCCCAACCTTCTACGCCGGCCACGCCCAGCAGCGCGGGCAGCAGCAGTAGCGGCGGGCTGCCATTTGGTAACGTCTCAAAGTCATTTATCAGCGGTAAGCAGCTTGAATCGGCTAGATGTATGCGTGATCTTAAAGTTCACTTTTCCGTGTTTCTCAGGCGAACGCAAGGACCCGCTAAACATGCTGGCCAAGAATGGTGGTTCAAAGCGCAACGCCCTCTTGAAGTGGTGCCAAAACAAAACAGTGGGTTACCGCAACATTGACATCACCAACTTCAGCTCGTCGTGGAACGATGGGTTGGCCTTCTGTGCTATCCTACACTCGTATTTGCCGGATCGCATTCCGTACGATCAACTGACTCCTGCCAACAAGCGGCGCAACTTTTCACTGGCATTTGCGGCTGCCGAGTCCGTGGGCATTGGCACAACACTGGTGAGTTTCCATGGCCAACTGGGGCTCCATTTGTTTGATTGTTTTTATTCTTATCTGAAAATCTCGCAACCAGAATATCAATGATATGTGTCAGATCGAACGACCCGACTGGATGCAGGTGATGTCCTATGTGACGGCAGTCTACAAATACTTTGAGACCTAGAGGAGGGAACTTAAGGACCATCTGCTGCCCTCCACTTGAGCTCCTTAGTGCAGTAGTCGTAGGGTTCCCTTTGCTTTCAATATATATGTTTGTTCTTCCGCATACATATTTTTTGGTGTTGTGTATATTCAGTTCACGATGAAGAGCGATCTAATGTTTTCACCGATTCCTCTAGCTTGTACGCTTTTTTCCCGTAAAGCCTCTTCTGTTTTAGTGCGTCCGTTTCCATATTCTTGCCCATGTACGATGGTCGTCCGGGCAGTGCCCCATATTTGGACATTGCTACTCTTAAATACGTTTGTTTTTGGGTTTTATAGACAAACCCTAGTATTAAGTTTAAGCATAAAGTTACATTTTTTTTGAAGCTTCGAAGTTTGTTGGACCGATCCTACCAAGGACAACGATGACCATCCCAGCCTGTTTCCACTGTACATGGGTGTTTATATAGGTATTTTTTTTATTGCGTGGTACAGAGTTTATTTTAATGCGTAAATCGACGATTGAGGATGATTAGCTGACGACGAAACATTACTATACAGATAATAAGGAGATGGACTAGTTTTAACGTATATATAATTATTTATTTCAACTAATTGAGAACACTAATTTAAACATAAACAAAATGTATTTTTAAACGATTAATTCTACGATCTATCATAAAGAACAATATGCTGCGAAAGGCAGTAAGTCAAGTAATCCCCGGTTGTTTTCTTTAGCTTTAATGCCTTTATTAAACTTGGTTAAGCCGCGGGGAGCAAATTAAAATTGCTACAAAATTTTACTGCGTCCGAAATTTGCATTTTTCCTAATCAAAAATTTCTGAGCCGTCGCTTATTAAAATTAATCAATCTTGGCAGGCGCACAAAAAGTGAAACTTGAGCCGAGCCCCTGGAAAATGAGGGAGGCATGTAAGGCGTGGTGGGAAAACTTTCAAAATGGCGCTCCTTCAGCGGCGAATTTCCCTCGAGAGGGAAATTTCCCTGGGAGCAGGAAAGAGATGGCTTCTGTACGTTGGTTAAATCAGTTTGTGGGCGGGATTCCGGATGTGGTTGGTCGGATTTCGGGGGATGATGGTCGGCTGGGGTGTGGCATGGTGCAGAGGATTCCAGTAAGGGTCCAAACCACACCGCAGGGGGTGGGCAATTTCTTTAAAATTAAAACAAGCCGATGATTGATGTACTCGAGGCTAATGAAAAGAGGCAGGCAAAGCTGGCAAGGATAAGCGAAGCGGTCCTACCGCTATTGTTGCACGAACTTTGTTTTTGATCATATAATCTTTTAAATTTTAATAATTGTAGAGTCGGACATCCATGCGGCGATCAGAAAACTATATATTTTCTCACATGTGTATCAAGTTAAATTCTTATTCGGCACATGTGTTCATTTGGCAGTAATGAACAAACCTGCAGCTGCTTATGATGCGGCCTATTATCAAACGCTTTCGTGTCTTTTAATTTGGTCCGTGCGTTTGGGCAAAGGTCACGTAGTTGGAAAAGCCTTTAACAGCCATCTACCCTTTTGTGCGCCTCGCAGTTGCAGGGGAGAAGCAAATTGTATGTGTCAATTAGGCGGCTCCTTGTTGTGGTGAAACTGTCCCTTTCCCGGCACATGTCGAAAATGAAATTAAACGCTGACGCATCTTTTGCTGACCAGTGGACAGTCACCAAAACTTGTGCGTGTATTGGAAGGGGGAGCTTGGGTTGGGAGTCTTGGGGCAATGGGGAAAATGCTTAGTCATAAATCAAGAAATTGGCAAAAATAAATTTCAATTCGGGCAACATTTTAATATAGGAAACAGACTGGCCACAAGCAGCCACATATGCGATGCAGGGACACGTACATATTCACACACTTAATCGGTGGCAGTGCAACTATAAAAATATTATCTATAGTTTCCACTCAAATGCACAGCGGCACTTACCGGACGCCGCTCGTCCTTGTCCGCCCAACCACCCATGTGGATAAATCATAATGGTTAATGTGACTTCACAAATGGATAAGCCAGGCGGTATGGTACACGGAAATAAATTTCTATTAACGTCCACTTTTTGTTGTCGCTCTTGCAGTATTGAATTATGCATGCTCAATGTCAATTTACTCAATCTAATAAAAACGTATGTAGTTTTCGTATTAAAATTTGTATTTATATTTTATTATCCATTTAAATAGTTTGAAATACATTTTCATTAAATATTTTTAAGGGATTGAATCCTAACTTAAAAATTGAACTTTTTATACTCGTATCACTAAAAACAATCAGTAATTATACTGACGAAAGAATCCTAGATTGTGGCAGCTGGCAGATTATTAATTTTTTTAATAGCGTTACTTAACAACACATTTTTTTAATTGCCCATGCGTAGAGTACAAATATCACACTTTAGTTCGTAATCATTTACCTTTTTTGATGAATTTCAATACATTTCTAAAGCCCTGTATTATTTTCTCTGTGCAGGTACACACGTACATACATATATGCTCCAACCGAAGGAAAACCAGACACGCTGGCGAATGTGGATGTGCATATGAGTGGTGAGTGAGAGTGGGTGTGGCTGGGATCCAGATATATATCTATCACTATACAGATAGTGAGGGGTGGACATTGCTCATCCAGGTCAGGTCATGTCAATTCAGGCGTCGGGAAATCGTTTTGTGTGCGTGTCATTTCTGGGTCATTTGCCATATGTATATCCGTGAAAACCCGATCCCACCAACAACAAGTAACCCAAGCCGGTCGGATAACGCGGGGGGCATGGGAAGACATGGGAGATATAGATCGGCTCGATATACAAGAACACAAAAACATGTAATAATCGCTGTTAGGCATGCCAATCGTACATGTGTATATGATCAAAGTCCAATAGAAAAGAAACACATATTTGTAGGCGATTGTACGGGAACTGGCTGAACTAGAACCTGTTGTCTGCCACCTCTTGCCCACTTGCCCCAAAATTGTGGAAGACGAGAAGGAAGACTCCCCACGACCTCAGGCGCTTGCACCCACATATTCGGAAAAGTTGGCTTCCTGTCAAAGATAGTTGGATGCTAATTTGGACTCCAACTTTGACTGCTTAACATTCCGCTTCTTCTGACACTTCCGATGTGCGCAGGCAAATCCTGTTTACTGCCTGTCAACTTATAAACAATTTTCCATGATAATAACGCCGCCGATCGGAGCAACTTTGCGGCGGAAGCGAAGGCTTTTCAAAGACGAAGAAACGCGAAAAATGGGAAAAAATGAGAAAAAAGGAGGAAGGATTATAATAGGGTAATGGAAAATCGAAGAGCGGACAGAGATTAAATACACTGGGCAACATTTCCGGTCTCGAAGAGATGGTCCAGTTCCATGACGAGGCCGCTTCGATTTGATTTCCTCTCGGCAACAAAGAGCTTTATGATTTTCCGGTCAATACAATTCCAGCGGCTGCACTGCATCCTTACAAATCAACAAGCATGACACATTGCTGCCCAGCCATTGTTGTCAGTTCAGGGTTCTTTGCTCGAGGAAGTACTAAAAAACACAATGGAACAGGCCAAGGGCTCTGCATGTGACTTTTCGGCTGTTCCGACAGCTCGGCTGCAATGACAGTCACAATGGATCCACAAAGACCCACGAGTGCCCCGCGGCTCCTCAACTATCTAACTAGCTACCTAATGCCATCCTGCTCTCTGCTCGGAATCTGAAGTCGTTGGGTCATCGAGGCTGAGGGTCAATAAACGCCGTCTTGTTGACTGGGTTTTACAATATTCGAATCGTTTGTAAGAAGGTAGCAAAGCAAAGTGAGGAACACTTGCTAAACATGATTTGATTTAATATGCTTAACAGATTTAGCAACAATTGAATCATTGTCTTAACAACAAAGTTAGTTACTCCAGGTTACTAGAGCTCTTTTGTCGATATGCCTGCTAAATACATATGTATCCAAATCTGGCTTACGACATTTTGCACCCTCGCCCAACTCCCCTGTCAGCTTTGGTTTATTCGACTAAACATTTCTAAATGACGTGCACGACCTTCCAGCTAAACGATCCCCATAACGATTCCATAAAAATTCAATAAAGATTCAACAAAAGAGCTCCGCTGTGCGAGAAACCCCTATCCGTCAGAAAGCGAATAACAAGACTCATGAATCCTGTCCCACAGGCGCAGTCCCACGTGGTCAGCTATTACCCATCAGGGCCAACGCCGAGCCAATAAATTTATTTGTGCTCCACCCACTTTGCCGTGCTGAAGAACCCCGTCCGATCAGCTATGTCCTGGCAGCCCTGACTCCTTGCCCCATGTCCTTGGGCCGCACTTGGCTGGCTCGCTCTGATTTGCACGCATGAGCTCCGTTTCCGTACACAGAGAAAAACATATAGCCCTAAAAGGTTAGTACAACATGTTTTTATCTCTGCGTACAATTTCAACTTCAACGGTCTGTAACCGGCTTACAGCTGTAACTGTGAAAGCGTGGGCAGTTGAACTTGTGGAAAGCGGAATGTTTTATGATTCGGCTCGAATTTTTTCCACTTAGCGACCTCTTGGCTTTTCGAATCTCAGCCTCCTGCGCTGGGGGCGTGTCAATGTTTGTTTAGCGCCCCTCCTTGCCAGTACGCTAACCAGATTTCAATTTGTGCCGAGCGAGGTGTTTATGAGATTTCGAGCTGCCGCTTTTAAATGGCCAAAATCCGTCTGTCCGGGGAGAAATTGTGTGCACCCCTGCACCCCTGCACCACCGCAGGACCCAAAGGACTCGGCGGATTCGTCTGGGATCTGCGTGGGCGTCCAAAGAAGCGTTTGTATGCTTAGTTTTATTCCTTCCTTTGTTTGACTTTGTTTTGCCTGTTTGGTTTGGTTTGATGTAAAGTGACATGATGGTTTCATCAAAAGTGCATTAAAAACAAAGCACAACCGGGGGGAAGTCAACAATGAAAGGCGGAATCGGACAGTGTCCTTCGTGATGGAGGGCATCCTGTATTGTGAATTTATCTATGTATTTTGGATAAGCCGACTTAGATTTGTCACTGGTTTTGTGAGATACTTAAACTGTTAAGGGTCCCCAAACCCCTTGCATTCACACTTGTTTCAATTAGATCGGTTTTTTATCCGTCATAAGTTGGTTCGGATTGCGGAATCACAAAAGATCGAAAGATGGTAAGCGGGTAGGAATTGGCCTTGCAGGATCTCACGGAAAACTATGTTTCGTCTTTCATGGAGCTGTGGCAAATGGGTCTGGGGTTAAATCAAGGCAGCCAAAGGATTCAGACCATTAAGTTCCGGAAGTGAGTTGATAACCAGACAACAAGTACACAATTCCAGTCGTCCACTGGCACGAGACAGGTCGCAGGACTCCGGCAGCTACGGAGCTGTCCTGGCTGGGGATATTTATGCGTTTGTGTGTTTCTTCATTGCAGTAATTGGCTGGCGGGCCCAACAAACAACGTTTGTGCATATGCAAACCACCAAAAGAAAAAGATATGCCAAGTAGAAAAATGAACTAAAGCGATCAACTTTTTGGGCCGCTGAAAATGGCTAAGGATAAGGGCATTTGGTAGAAACAGAGACTGCCGTGGTTTAAATGGTTAATGGATACTTTAAATTCTGATTCAGAGAGTCTAATGGGGTTTCACGAACGCCTTCGATGTTTCTTCGATGTTTATATGTCCAGCTTGGCTGAACAATAAACAAATAGATCGAATGTACAAGAGCACTC